TGACATTGACATGAAATAAGTCAACCTTTTGTTCACAACAAAAGAACGTTTTGTTTTTCCAAAGCACTCTTCTCAAAAAATTAAAAATTGTATTTTTAGGAAAAATGTGATACTGAACCACCATGTGTGATATATAAGAGAAAAAAAGAAGTTATCTCAAAATGTGAAAATTCAAAATGGCGCCCATAAGAAAAACTAAAGTTGCCACGTGTTTCTCCTTCATCTGGAGAGTTATTAAAAACAGGATGCCATATTTGAAATCTCCATTAAAAAGTGTCCGAATAATGTGTTAATTAGAAATGTCTACTACGATTAGTTTATCATAAAAAAAATAAAAACGAAAATCAGAAATTTTTATTTTTTTGAGATATCTTCAAAACTATTGAAGATATTTGAAATATCTTTTCAGATTCTTATTCAGCACGAAAATTGGCAACTTTACCCCCATTTAACCAACTTTCTATCTCTTAAGATAAGTGAGATCCCCATAGTGACACTCGAAAAATGGACACCGTGTATATCTACTGTATACAAAATTTTTCTATATATAATAAGGCAGTATGCGATTGTTTTTATTTCAGAAAACAAATGAGTAACGAAAAACAATTTGAAACATATAGTACATGGACTGCTATTAGCCCTATGCTTTCAATACAAAATGGGTGGTCACGGATAGAGGGCACTGTAGTCGTGGGTATGTCATAGATATATAAATACATAGATACAGCCATACCCCAACATAGTTCAAAAGGACGTACCATCTATTACCATCACTTTCGGCACAATAATTACGTATAGCGCTATCCTTTATAGAGGTACCCTGAGTGTGGAAGACAAGATTCGCATTATTTATTATAACTGTCAATCAAATTGTTAGCACAAATCACACAGAAAATTATCAGATTTGAGACTTTACAACATAAATAAACCGCCTTTTTATTTATTGAAATCGCATAGCAGCAAGAAATGTTACCTTTAAAATGGAATATGTTACTTAGAAAGCGGGCAAATGAAGAATTTGAAAAAATTACAGCTGACAACTGGAAGAAAGTGTGTGAACATGTGGAAAGTGATTAATTTAAAAGAGAAGTTATATTTGGTTGATGTTGCTGAACTTTATAATAAGTGTTAATAATGACAGTGATGATTCGAATTTGTCAATTTCATCTGACGATGATTCGGATTGTGAGCTTTTACAAACGTAATGAATGTTCACTAAATGAGTATTATCGCCAATTGGATATCATTGTTAAGGTGTTGTATTTATTTTTAATAAATGTACATGTGTAGCTTACTTACTACAATCAAAGAGTAACCATAATTTACTCTTTGCTACAATTAGCACTATAATTTCAAAAAGAAACCCCGCCGAATGGACATATGCCGAAAGGTAGGCAAGACGCGTAGCGACCAAAATTTGATATTGCACGCACACACAGTCTAAAAACTCGTTTTCCTAAGAATATTGCACGGATCCTTCTTTGTGATCATGATACAAACGCACTGCATCAACATCATATAGGCCAAAATGATAATTGGAAACGAATTCACTTCCTGTCGCAACTTAATCTCCTTTACCATTACGCCTAAAACCATGCAATTAAAATTAAAATGTTGAACATAAACTTTACTTACTTACGGTTTTTTTGATATTCTGCAAGCCAGCAATGAATTCACTGCAGCACATCATGTCAAACAAGGTAAACATAATCCCAAATTTGAATGGCGTAGCTGTATGTAATAAAACTATTTCAGGAATAACAATTATGGACGCGTCTATCATTATGGCAAGCACTAATGTTATTCGTATTCAATTGATAACGCAATAATTACATAATATTTAGTGAAAAAACCGCCCATCATGTTTAGGGCGAATATTTTTAGTTAGATTTGATTTCGCGCGATCGTGAAATGTGTCAACTGTCACATGACTTATGGGACGCGCTTAGTTTTAAGCGTCCGATTCACGTACGACATAGTGGTTAATGCAATAAAAAGAGATAGAACATGTTTAATCTTGATTAGAAAGTAATGGAGAGATGTACAAATTTCTTTGATATGTTTTTTAAAAACCGAGGTACGTTTGTTAAGGATGGCTGTATCTAGGTATTTATATATCTATGTGGGTATGTGAATCTCAGGGTAAACTAAAGTCGTATGAACACCACTCGGATCGCGTAAAGAGTAGCTTTTATGGTAACCGCGTAGTACGGGAAGCTTTAAATACACTTGATTATCTTCCATCCGTCCACAAATAAGAATAGGTTTGCTTTTTTTGCCTTATCTGGGTAATTAATTAATTGACATTTGTTAATTTATAGGTTGACAGCCTCAAATCGTGTCTCATCGGACAATTTCGGACAGACTTGTTTACCCTGAAACGATTTCCCATGTAAGCAAAAATTCCAAAGGTGACTCGACAGCAACTCATTTTTGATCGCATAGTATTTGCAGTACCTACATGAAGAACTCCTCCCTTTCTGCAGCAGTAGCTCCGTTTCTCACACCGGACCCTACTCCTCAGCAGATCAGTGACGCTGGAGAAAAGTTCCTGGACGGACAAAAAACAGTGGTTGCAATAGCGTTGGAAAATGCGCTGAAAAGTTTTGTGTTCATTAGCAATGGCGTTCACTTTTCAAGTTTGTGTGTTCCAAACAAAAATCAAAATTCAATACTGCGGGTAGATTTTTTTGGATTAAAAGGCAAATGTTTCTTTCTCGCAAAAATATTGGTTTTTCCGTTCTTGGTTAAACGACGTAGGAAAAGTGATACTGATAGATGTTGGCAACGTTCTCACGTAACTGTATCTCTGTGATGCTGCCATCTAAATGTGAATTCCACTATAGATCATGTAAAATGTACAATTATATAAGTCAACATGATAATTATTGTTAATGAAATAGCAATTTTACTTCAAACTACTCAATTGTTTATAATTTATAAATACTTTTCTTTCTGAAATGGATCGGTTATTAAAAGATACAATGGCGTTTCATATGATGACCCTATTAGCGATCAGCCTACAATATTAAACTAATTAATATAAACACAGATAAGTAGGTACTTGATCTATACCGTATCAGTGCATTCTTTTATTTCTTTAACATTTAACACATCTCCCATAAAGAATGTTTAGTCTACATCACGGTATAAGATAGTTACACCGTGGTCTACCTACATATAGAATTTCAGCGATTTCATATATTTACAGTATCAGAATATGAAGAAGTAGAAGGATCCCATAATTTATTTTTAGCGCATTTTTTAAGAATTAAAAAAAATGTGCTATTGTTTGCGTTTTGTCCGTCCGTCCGTCCGGGCCCACTTCTACCGTTTTGAATTACTTCTAGGGGAATGGTCCTAGAGTAAAGGCCCCCTCCCCCCCCCACGAATTATCATAGCTTTTACATACGACAACCAATTGGTCTCCGATTTTGCATACGCATACCTTTAGTAGTGCTAAGTTACCCTTCATGGTATTCTAATGAAAGGTCTCATTGAAATAAATTGGTTTGTACAAACTATAACTTTTCCATGCGACTCTTTTTCGAGATCAGTGAGCGGCGGAGCCTGAGGGGGGGGTGTGGGGGTGGTAAGAAATTAATTTGATCTCTCATTGTATTATAATTAAAGGTCTCAACGAAAGGAACCGTTTTCTACCAACTACTGCCCTTCTTTCTGTCCTCTTATTAAAGTACATGGTGGAGGGGGGGGGGGGGGAGTAGAACTAGTTTTATCCTTCATGGTACTCTAATGAAAGGTCTCAATGAAAGAATTACCAACCATAGCCCTCCTCCTTGACATCTTATCGTGATCGGGTATATTCCCTTATACCTCAAGAACGGATTTCGGAAGAGGGTACTCACAAAGGGCGATTGAGACGTCTGCAAGAAATATATCCATTGGTGATGTCAAAACTTAAGCTATTCCGGTTAAAGAAAAATGCGATTTATCTGCACAGGAGTTGTGCACAATTTATACTTGTTTAAATTTGTTTCACTGTTTCATGTGGTTGTTTGTTGTCCCAAACATAGTTGATGGCAACAAGCACCCGAGGGATTAGAACGAACTTTAGTCCTGTGGTATAAAACTGAATGCTTTATTTACACAATATACGATATTATTATTATACGCTATATTTTGTACTCTGTTACAGCTAGTTCATTGTTAAGGATACAAATTTGAAAAAAGAATTATTTTATAGGTATGTACATCAAATGTTTCATTTCACTGATTATATTCAAACACCGAAGTATTGTTTCGTTGCTGGGAGCAGGTAAATAGGCTGAGAAAGTTTACTTCTCTTCCTCTTTTTGGCCTTTCTGACTTTTTATATACAGAAAAACAAAACAACGTCGTATTTTTTAAATATTAGCAAACATTTTGTATATGGAACTCCCTGTATATTATTACTCCACATGACGGCTTATTAAATTCTAAACAAAAGTTCTTAATGCGCCATAGGCAAAATACATCAAAAAATCAAAATTTTCTTATTTGGGATGTAGTATAAATAAGAATCTCTGTCTTTCCCAAATGTATTTTAAATTCATCGACAGGGGCAATATACTAATATACAATAACATACATAATTACGTGATTGTTTACAATTAATTACTAATGAATTTATAACAGTTAAACAGTTAAATATTATTTATCACCTACGAACGCGAACTTCACTAATAATCATTTCGGCATCGATATTAGAACTATAACTAACACGCTTCAACTTGCTTATATAGTATGAAAAGTTTCTAGAAAAATTATGGAATGTTCTCGAAGAGTCTAGAAGACGTATGATACTTATGAAAAGAATGCGTCGCATCCGCTTTCATTCCTTGTCGCCGCGCCGGTGACAAATCTCTTATCCACTTGATGGCGACCCGATATTCGCTACGATACGTATGAAAATGCGCTATGGTTGTCCGCGTATCTACGCAGACTTTGCGTAGAAATAACACATGAATACAATAGCCCAATTATAATTTTTATTATTTCAGATACCGAAGCAAATATTTTCAAGTCGATTAATGGAGAATTTTGCGATGGCGAGGAAAGGTTTACGACTATCATTGAGTTTAGTAGATATCCGGATATTTCTGTAAGAACTTATTTGGTTAATGTAATTATCTAAAAGGATTATAAATATCGGAAAGCTATTGAGAAACTATATTTTTGATTATTCTGCAGCGAGCTTTTTTTTAAAAACCACTATACAGGCTGATTCAAAAAATTCGAGGGCCACCATGGGGATCTCGGGAACTCGAAGAGATAGGTGAGTAGTTTAAATTTGGCAAAGTTGCGTATTTTGATGCTTAACAAAATGCAGTTTTGAAACTGAAAAAATTCCGACTACTTTCTGAGATATCCGGGAAAAAACGCGAAATTTTGCAAAATCGTTTTAATTTTTATGAAGTTATTTAAAAAGATATTTTGAAATAAAAGGCAAATTATTATGGCCACTTTTTTCCCTCTACAATATACTACTTTTAAATTTCAACTGTTACGTTTTGTCTCCAGTTAACCATCATCAACTTTGTTTTTTCTTATGGAAGTAATTTTTACTTTTTGTGTCATTTGATAGAGAATTTAGAATTTTTTTCTGAATTTAAAAATGCAAACGTCACTATCTTTGATCAGAAATAGCGTACTAATTCGTAAAAACGCAAAAAAGTGTGTACATACACTGCCCCAGACAAAGTTTTCTATTCAAAAAAGAAGACATTTTAACAATTTAAAAAAATTGTGTTTATATTATTAAGATCAGAAAAAAATCTATCAAATGACACAAAAAGTAAAAATTACTTCCATAAGAAAAACCAAAGTTGATGATGGTTAACCGGAGACTAGCATCTTGTAGAGGGAAAAAAGTGGCCATAATAATTTTATTTATTTTGAAAAATTTTTTCATATAATTTCAGTAAAAACAAAAACGATTTTGCAAAATTTTGCTTTTTTTCCGGATATCTCCGAAAATCACTTTGTTAAGCATCAAAATACGCAACTTTGTCAAATTTAAACTACCCTCCTATCTCTTACAGTTTCCGAGATCCCCATGGTGGCCCTTGAATTTGAATCAGCCTGTATTTGAAAATATCATTGTGACAGGACTTAATATACCAATTCAACAATGTAGATAGAATAATGAAAAGGTTTTTTTAGCTGGAACCAAAATTTAAATTCATGAGCGAGTGTGAACTAAAAATCGAAATTCCTGATCCCGAATACGAACCGCCATGTACTTTAAAAAAAAATGGCCACTTTATTGACATGAGATCACTAAAAAATATAGAAACAATTGTAGAACATCCTGAACCGAAAATGAAATTTAGCTTAAATGTGTGCAAAAAATCTCCTAAATGTGATCCAGACGTATCAATATGTCAGTTGCTGGATGATGGCCGGTCAACTGCAATATCAGATGTTAGTAGCCAACGTTTACTCCTCAAGGAGGGAAGTCTCTTAATCCAAGGCCATACCAATGAATATAGGCGGTTCAGGCTAGAATTTAGACTTAATCTTAAATGCAATTGGAAAGCGACTGGATTAACGAATTTAGTTTACGTAAAACCTCAGCAAAAAGGGAAACGTTATAGTTTCAGTGCAGAGTCATCAGTTGCCTGTGTTAAGTTACCAATCAACTGCTTGGTAAGTGTTTATTTGAAAAGGTAGATGGTAGAAAACTTTGGGTCTTGTTGTTTGTAGATACGAGATCCAGCTAATGATAATTTTTTGTACGATTTGAGGCGATTATATCGAGGTGGTAATGGATGGAACGTCAAAAATGTTACTGGTGGCAGAATAGACATCAGTATGTGTGGTCCTTTACGGTTTTCAGACTCTACAACTGAGTGCGCAAGTGAGTTGATAAATGATAGGCTGTATGAAGTTGCACTTTTTGCATTTTTTAGAGCAACATTCTCAAGTGTGTCTTATGAAAGGTGGAGCAATTAATTTGGGTAGCATTCAGAAAAATATTCAAGTCACTGCTCATGATACGGTTATTACAAGTTTTACTGGTAAGTTCATATTGGCGCTAGCTAAAAAAGCTGGGCGTAGTTCTTAGTGTCAAATGCTTGCTTGGATGTGTGTAGTGGGTTGACTTTGTAGAGCAGCCTTGACTGAACTCGATCACATTTTATGTATAAAATACTTTTTGTTTTGTTTTGGATTGTTTTCTTTTCGTGTTTAATTGAAATAAAAACTGTTTATAGATGGCAGTGCATGTTTCGTAAATGGTACTGAAAGGAGCTACAGCACTGAAATTGAGTTTATATGTAAAATTCAGGAAGATGGTCCTATAGTGCATGATATAATTGATGAATGTGTCTATAAAATAAAGTGGTATACTCCAATTGCTTGCGCCAAAAATGTAAGTTAAGCAAACATGATGTATCCATTTTTTGTATTTTCATTTTAGCTACCAATAGGGGATGATTGTAGAGTAACTGACATGACCGGACCAATCAATTTGAACCCAATGCGCCAGTATCAGGATAGGACCCACACTTTGTCCCCAAATTCATTTTTACGTTTTAATTTATGCGGCCCGCTAAATAAACGTTGTAACAATCATACAGCAGCCGTTTGTTTGGTGAATGGCAACACGGAGCATGTCTTAGGTGAGTAATTTACTTCTTTTAATTAATGCTTAGATAGTTACTTTTAGGAAGAACAAATCTAACACTGGTTAAGAATAATGAAATAATATCGACCATTATGAAGGGTGATAAATGCTCTGGAAAAATGTCGGAATTAAAAATTAACTTTAGATGTAATCAGTTTGCAACCCCTGGTGGGCAAGTGCAAGTCAAAATTGTACGAGTTTATTAAAAAAAAATTTGTTTATTAGATATGGTTGTTTCAGATTAGAGATTTCTGTGACTATGAGATCACTGTAAACACTCCAACTGCCTGCTCACCTATGTCTTTCTTCGATTGTAAGTTGTATAACGGAAACTGGTTGTATGATCTTTCGCCTTTAATGCGACATGATGCCAATTATGAAATCAAACAAGCAGGTTTGCTATACAGTTTAAATTTATGCAGGTCTGTTGTTAGAACGAATAATGCGCAATGTACCGCATATGCAGGTATTTGTATGAAAAATTTGACTGAAATGCACGAGAAAAAGAGGTTAGTATACTTACCTATATAACAATATTTCTCAAATACACAAGTCAGATTTTACACATTTTTGTTCTCATATTCTCATATTGCCTATGCTGATTTAAGTATATACGGATTATGAACTAATTCAGTATGAACACCATCTCTGAAATAGCTTGAAATGGTCTACATTCACACCGCATTCATACTGTTGCAAGTCCTTATAGTTTACCTTGTTTGACCTACAACACTGTGTTGCCAACTGTTTTGGTTAATTTTTTCTGTCACATCTGGCTGGAACGGATAAAGCTTTTCAGAGAAGATAAATGGAAGTCGTCTGCGTAATACTAATACACACAGATCAGTATTTCATTAGCAAAGTTTAAAATTGTCGATCTCACGAGTAATCTAACTCAAAATAGACTAATTACTGAGATCTCAGCCGAACAGCCAGCCAGCCAGCCATAACGAATATAATAGCGTATTGTTTTCCAAAAATGCGCTAAAAATGGGTAGTGAGGAAGACCAAACATTTTTGTGCCAAATAAATCAAACGCCTAAAATGATTCTCGAAAAGTTGTAAACTTTAGGATTGTGTAATTTTTAACCTGTTTTTGTATTATAGGGAAGGAAAGCTGGAGGAGGCGAAGTTGAGAAAAGTAATACCATAGAGGAAATACAATTGTATTTACTCTGGTAATACTTATTTAATTTATGTTTAATAAAAAAAAGCACTAATACCAGCGCGAATTGCATAAGTCTGTTCGTCTGACTGTTTGAGATCTCAGTAAGTTTATTTTGTTTAATAGGTTTTAATAATAGGGTGGATGAAAACAAAGATCTTTGTCGAAAAAAATTAGGCGCCTGCGTGTCGTGTTCTAGGTTCCTTATTTGTTAAAATATTTCAAACAAATTACGTACATAAACCGATTAAAAAACTAGATTTGTGGATGTGTTGAAACGTTGGGTCTTGGCCTGCGCGACTAATTGACTAAAAATGTTAATTTTTTTAAAAAGTATAATATCCCACATTAAAAGGTGGTGCTGTAAGTGTGGAAGCTGACGGACAAAAAATAAGTTGTAACCAATCACCCCTGTCCTACAGCCTTATCACTTATGTTTGAGGAACTATAACTCATAGAAAGATGGTACCAACAGCTTTATCTAGGTTTTTGGGTGTACCAAGATGTGGCGAATTTTCCCTAATATGAATTGAGGAGTGAGTGAGTCCGATTATCCTTCTAGGATAAGCAATTGCTTAACCCCCCGGCGGCGCCAAGAATTCCAGAATGGCCCCCCTCGGTACCTCTGCTATTCAACAACCCCTTATTTTTCTGACGCAAGGATGCCAGAGTGGCTTGCTCTCTCACATCGAGATCTAGTGGAGACAGATCCAGAAGAACCTCCATGACGGATGTGGGAATTATTCCCATCGCGTCTGTGCAAACAAGGCACAGAAGACTTTGTAAGTACATGATTTAAGAAGTGCTACAGTGGAGAGTCTGGCCACCAGACATATTGCTTCATATCAGAGTATATAGGTCTTATCTTCGGGCGGGGATGATCTCCGAAGTCTCAATTGCGCGCTGATTTTGCCAGAAAGTCCCTTTTGAACTCACGCAATTGCTTTTTTATTCAATTAAATAAATTTATACATAGGAACCACGCATGGTAAACAATGCAAAATAATAAAAGTAAAATATTTATAAACCGATGGACACATGAAATTGTTAAGAACTGAATTCTATATCGGCATCATTTTTGTGTTGTGCAAACATTGCTTTAATCCCTGCTGTCTGCAGTTAAAAAAAGTCGCCTAACCTCGCCCCCTCCTCTATTGTTTCGAAGGTTGTTCAAAACCCCTTCTATATCTATGAATATTCCCAGTGAGGACTGTTTATAGTCCAGCGATCTCACAATCCGCCCCACAACGCAGTGCACGGTTGACTCTAGATCTTCCTGGGGAGTATGCGTGTTGTATCTATCACACAGTCTTTTAAGTGTGTTATGAAGAAAAGACATCAAACTGATTGGGCGGTGTGCTTTAGGTGTAAAGTAATCACCTTTGCCAGGTTTGGGGATAAATACAATTTCCATATGCTCCTCCATTGTTTAGGTATGTACAAAGATAATACTACACTAGATAGACACTGTAAATGGGCAAGTTACTGTACCTAGTGTAAAAGTTTTCCAATTGTTTTGCTGATTAAACCCTACTTTTGTCTAACCATTCATATAGTAAAATATTGATCTTATATATCAAAGATAATACTACTCTAGTAGATAGACACCGTAAATGGGCAAGTTGCTAAACCGCTTATTTCATTCCTTAAAGAAGATATAGGGGACTTTTGCAATTAAGCCTATCATCGGAAGTCGTAATCGTACGTATTCGACACGAGCTGCATTATACTATCTCTTCCTTGACCTACCCCACATTCCTTTACGTATTATATATATTAAATTACATTTAAAGGTAAGGGAAACATCTGTGGAGGCGTCTCTGAGAATTTCCGCCACGTTGCGAATATTGCGCACTTTTATCGGACTGTACTTTATACAGGGTGTAACCATTCCCCTCGGATCGTAGTGCCTTTACCATAAAAGATATCGGGAAAAAATGGAGGAGCAAAAATGTTTCTAAAATATTTCTGGTCACCAGTGGCGTGCTGTATTTCAGTAGCGTCCGTTTTTTTAAAAATGGAATATTTTATTGAGAAATTGAAAAGTACTGTAGAGTACTACTTTTTTATTTTTTGTAACATAGCATACCCTTAACTTTCACCCATTTCGCTATTATAACCTTTTCTTCTCAAAATTTGACCGTTTTTCGAATTTATTCCAGAGAAACTAAATCACGCCGGCGCTTAAATTTTGAATTCAGGCACATACCTGGTGAATATTTCAAAACCGAACATAAACAATTAACATGTTAAAAAATTAATGTTTTTTGCAAATTGTTGCTCCACATGTAGGTTAACTTCCGAGGGACCCCATGCAATCGAAAGAAGATTTTTTTCTCATCTAATGAGCGAATTTGTTCATTTTCAGGTGTATTTCTCATAATTTCATAAAAAATTCAACAAAATTAGCAATTAGCAAAATCATGTTAAGCCATGAGTCAATTGTAAATTTTCTAAAGAATTGAATAACATTTGAATCTGCTTTTTGTCTTACTAATAGTCATGGATTACATGATTTTGGTAATTGCATTTATTTCCAAATTTTTGATGAAATAATGGGAAATGCAACCGAAAATTAACTAATTGTATGTGATAAGATGAGAAAACATTATAAGACCTTTAAGTGAACATGGGGAGCACAATCTACAAAAAAAACATTTTTCCCATGTTAATTGCCTACGTTTGGGTCGGATTTTTAAAATAACGGCATCGATTTTTTTTAAATAACTTATTTTTATTAAATTCTTCCAAAGATCTTCTGTTGGGAAATAAATTGTGTCAAAAGACAAGAAGCTAAAATTTTTTTTTCGGCAAAACGGTTATTTTTATTTCGTTAAAATTTTGCTAGTTCACATTGCGCATAAAAGATGTAAGACTGTCAAAAACTTTTTTAGCTTCCTACCACGAGCTAGGTAGCTATTGCGATAGCCGTTTTTCGAACATGTCAAAATTGTGTAATTGTAAACAGGAACAGGTAGATTGTCAGGGGGAAACTGAAGGTACCTTCCATTCTTTATAAGAAATACGGCAGATTTTTCTGTAACTGTTCAGTATGGAGTATATTATTAATTTAAATTAGAGCAGAAAAAGAACAGTGAAAGAATGCGATACGCCTATACAAGGCTGCGCCTGACTAACACAATAGAAAGAGCCATTGTTCTAATATTGTCTGCTAATGCAGTGAATAATCGCTACTATTGTGGTAAAAACACTCTCTGCGGACAGAGTCGACATATCCCGCTGACAAAACTGAGGTGTCTTATCTAGTGTAGTATTATCTTTGGTATGTATCTGAAAGCGATACAGCCCTTATATATCTCACTAGGTAGATGACAATCCAGTCGCCATTGCAGGATGACTGGTTTTTTGCCATCCAATCTTGGTGATTTGTATGCCTCGCCGGATACACCATCTGACTAGCAACCGTCCAGTCATTCTCCATGGGAATGAAGGGGGTTACCTCTGGCGTTGTAGTGGCTCCGGGAAAGTGGGCGTCTCTCAGTACCTTGGCTGTTTCTGAGAGGTTGTTTGTGTAGGAACCATCCTCTTGTCTAAAATCCTTCTTATATAGCCTTAGGTTTACCTTGTAGGTCTCCCAATCGGCTGTAGCTTTGCTCTTCTTTACCTTATTGAACAGTTTGCCTAACTGATTTTTCTATTTTTCAAGCGCCTTGCACCACCGGGGATCAAATGACTCCACTTGTATATTAAAAACGGTTCATCGAGGAAAATGTTCCTATACTAAATGAAAGTTCATTAAATGCTCTATAACTATTATTCTCGCAACTTTTATTTGAATTCCCAACCGTTTACCGCTACACGCTTCTTAAAAGTAAATTTTTTTCATCAAACATCTATTTATATCGTCCAACTAAACTAACTTTGAATTATTTGGTCTCTTATCTATGTACAGCACTGGCCATGACCAATTTGAGTAAACCAATTTATGTGCAATCTTTTAACACTGTGATATCATGGTGCACAATGAATTTGTTTCCATCAACTATTGGACCCCTAAGATAATCAGTTATAATTCCTCACATATTTTGCGAAAAGTAGCATGAGAAGAGGGTACTTACAAAGGGGAAATGGAAGGTCTAATCTAGATGTGTCTGCTGGTAGGAGAGTATGTGAATACTTCAAAGACAGATTGTCAAAAGAGCACAGTTTCTAAGAAAAAGTTGAAGATTTACTGCTTGCCCTTTGTGTGGTTGTGGTTCAAAAGCTAAACCTTATTCTTCTTCAAGAGTTTGTGCCAATTGTTTCAAACCTCAATCAGTATCAGCTGTGTGAATGTAGACTCGCCTTTGAACTGAATGTGGCGATTTGTGCTAAATGTGACGGCATAAAAATGCGTAATAATTACGATAGACAGCAAATTTTATTTTTAGCTACATCTCATTGGGCATGATTAATAGTGATATTGACCTCAAACTAGACGGCGCTGATGTGGTAGTTGAATATAAACATGGCACTTTGTGCCCTGACGATTTTTCTGATAGATCATCTCTAATTCGATTTAAATGTTCTACTCTTGAAGTATGTCACTATTTAATATTCCCCTAATCATTGCATTGTTTAGGAAGGTCCAAAGCTTCTACGCAAGACAGCCTGTAACCATGAATTTGTGTGGAGAACGCCTGAAGCGTGTGGTAAGAATCGAACTAATCCAAAGATGAGGTCTCCACCTGCGTGCATTTTTGCTGATCCTGTTACTAAGAACACGTAAGTCCCTTTTTTTGGAATCCCTACATAGCATATACTTATTGATCTATTTTCAGCTTTGATTTGGCTGCGATTAATACAATAATTAAATTCGAAAGGCATAATGAAACTTTTAAGGTACCCATCTGTTCAAATGCCTTTACTTATTGTACCTTAAACAATGGTAAGTGACACATTATTTTTGATATTACTTAGGTACTTATATGGACATTTTTCTACTTTTTGAATGTTATAATTTTTTGTTACCTTGCGAGCTGCAGAGAGCCCTGGTGTTCTGTGCAGTTTGGAAAGGGATTTCAAAGTTTGATAAATCCACGTTTCGTATATCTGCAACGATCGTGTTATAATGGTCCATATGAATAAATGGAAGCAAATGCTTACACTTCCAAAATTCAAAGTAAATACTCGTAAGTGCTCCTTCACACTGGGCGACTTAGCAGCGTTGCTGAGCAGCAGGACAGGACGCACTGCAGCGCTGCTAAACCATGCTAAACAGACCAGTATGAAGGGGCAGTTACAAGTACAGGCCGTTAGTCCTAAGGTGGCGGAAACCAGCGCATCCCGAGAGTCCGTTAGAGATCCGGAGCTCTGCTTTTGCAGGCACCAGTGCCGGCGACCCTTTTTTTTTTGATATTACTTTCGAAAACAAGGCATCAAGTTATCATTATCACAATGAGTAAAAGTGTCAGTCTTGCATAATTATTATCCATTTGAGGGCATTAATTTCCTGAGAAACAATACAAAACAATTTAAGTACTTGCTACCTAAAGTAAAAATGCTTTGCAGACGCCACTGGTGCGTTGCAAGTTTAAATTTGAATCTGAACCACTGCGCACAACGACCGTTCGCCACCTTAGGACGAACGGCCTGTATTTACTTTGAATTTTGCAAGTATAAGCATTTGTTTACTTTTATTAATACGGGCCAATATTTCCATTTTGGCTGCATATTCATATCAAGAGTGAGTAATGTGCCATGTGTTGGGATCGATACTTGTAGAACTGTTCTATTTTATTTTATAAATGACTTGCTTTATTATAACTCAATAAACTAATTTATTTTTTAGGTTTAAATTGTACTACATTGGATACAGATTTTCAATTAGCAAGCTCTTCAAATGGACCATCAATTTTGTATTCTTTATTCAACAGGTCGTGCACTGACAATATAGTAAACTTTGTAAATATTAGTGTAAGCTGTGAACCGACCTATTCCATCAATAAGTTTGAAGTTGGAGAAATTACAAATTGTACACAGTATGCAGATTTAAAGACTCAACATGTTTGTAGTAAAGATCTAATATTGAAGAGCAATGAAATTATTAGCAGTAAACCTGAAATTGTAAGTCAAACTGAAAATCAAGATTGTACAATACCAGAACTGAATCACTTCAGCTTGAACAGTCTAGGAAATTTGAAAGTAAGTGCTAATAAACTTCCATGCCTAAATATCTGGAGTACGTTGTAGATCTTTTCCATGTCGAATAATTCATTGTATGTTTTTAATTTTGATCGAAAGGGAGATTGCAATGGATTAGTTTGCAAAGACGGCTTAAGTATGGGACCAGAAGTTCATCTCTGCCCACTTACGAAAATTGACGATGTAGAGTCGTCAGTTCGATTAATCTACAGAAGTAGAATGTGTCTTGATGGTAATTTGAACAATAATTTCAAAGTCGTTATATATAATTTGTTGTTTATAGATTTTTTCCGGTCAGAAATTTTGTTGAAGTGTGATGAAAATTCTGTTCCCAGAATAGTGAAGGTGAGTACCCAAATTGGTTAATGGAAGTGATATCGGGTCTTGGTAATGCAATACAGTAAAGTCTCGATAATTCGAGGTAATGACGAAGTGTCCAGTTTTTTGTTGTAAATTGATTATGAAAATTTAAGTAAAATGAAACAAAAATGCGAAAGAATCATTAAAATACCTTCAGAAATGAAAAAGTTAAAAGACTATAGTTGCACTTGGAAAAATAATTTCGATTCAGCGTGTGACGTCACTTCACCTTTTCGCATATGATGACCATTCATTCATTTGAGTACATTATTGTTGCACCCCACCGTTTCTACGGTAACGGCCGCGCTCGATTAGGTCAAATGACGTCACAGGCAATAACCACTACCGTTTTGCGCACTGAATACAGAGCTTAAATAATGTATTTCTCATTTATTGACAGATTTTAAAATTTTGTTTACTAGTTTATTAGTTTTATCTATAATTAGGTAAAATATTGTATTATCATTTATCATTATGAAATTTGTCCATTAGAGCTAGTAGTACCTCGGGTTTTGCAAAACTGGGATGAGTAGCGCAGGCGCACCACGATTACATGAAAATAAAGTCAGGTTTTGAGTTTTCAAGTTTTTTTTTCTTTTGGATCTGCACGGAACCTCGAATTATCGCGACTTTTACTGTACGAAAATCCACAGTGTAAAGAATAGAATAGTGAGATTATAGTGACCATCTGTAAGAGGGGGCAATTGTTGTGGATTTTGAAAGTTACGCATGTTACAAACCTTTAATAATAGATACCCACTTTTGCGCTAGACAAGAATAAATTTCAGGGTAGATAGGTAGGTAGTTTTAATTTGGCAAAGTTGCGTATTTTGATGCTTAACAAAATGCCGTTTTGAAATTTGAATACCTTCATAAATAAAACATACAGCATGCGTAAACAGTAATTTTGAAACCGGTCTACATATGATATTTCATTTAACTGCTTTCATAAATAATAAAGTTGCCATTGCGCATGCGCAAAATCAAATTTTAAGACCGTCTTTATGCCAAATGCCTATGTATCAAATTTCATTTAAATATCTTCATAAATAAAAAAGTTAGCATCGCACATGCGTTAAACCAAATTTTTGACACTGCGCATGCGCAAAACCAAAAATTATGGGTATGCACGGAATCCTTGGACCAAGCCCTTTCAAATGAGTCCTATATCGCCAAAATCCGTTCAGTGGTTTAGAAGGAGTACCTGTGACGGACGGACGTCAAAGTGCAGCCAATAGCGATTTTTCACTTTGTGGAAAATACGCTAAAAACAAAGTTCATAGTTAACCGGAGACAAAACGTCAGACTTAAAATTTAAACCTAGCATCTTGTAGAGTGAAAAAAGTGGTCGTAATAATGTGTCATTTATTTTGAAATATTTGTTTGCAATAATTTCGGTAAACAATAAAAACGATTTTCAAAAATTTCCTTTTTTCAGGATAGCTCCGAAAGTAGTCGGAATTTTTTCAGTTTCTAAACTGCATTTTATTAAGCATCAAAATACGCAACTTTGCCAAATTTAAATTACCTACCTATGCATCCCTTACAGTTTTCGAGATCCCCATGCCCCATGGTGACCCGCGAATTTGAATCAGCCTATATATTAGGTACAGACTAGAAAGTTCATTGGCTAGAAACTCGTATTTTTTTTCCTGAATATCAGCTTATTTATTTTTATTTTTAAAATGTGCATTGTGATGCACCAAAAAATGAAGTTTTGAACCCTTACTTCCTATTCTGCCCTCGAGTTAGATCTAATTAAAGTTATGGATGCTCCTTTAGTATTTTTTGACATGAGAGGGAGTCCCCGTTGTGCCAAAGGTGATTTTTTTTGTGGAAAGCTCATCAGAATTTTAAATGAATTCTAAAGTTATTGATTGACATTTACCAGTCGTGCAATGAAACTGGGATAACCCGTGTTCTGCTCATGGCTTTTGTGTGATGTGTATGAAGAAAAGTGTAGCAAATACAAAATACAGCCAATACAGGTAGCCATTTTGAATCATAGTCGCCATTTTGGATTTTATTTCCATTGTCTGACCATAACATACATACTATCCTTGCCAGGGATCTGTGGCCCTGCGTCATCATTTATATTTTATGGTGTAATATGAAAAAAGGTCTCTGGAAAAAAGCTAGTCAAATTATGTCCGTAATAATTATTATGTATAATATCCTTGAATGATAATGTATGCTCAGAGATGGCGGCAGCGGCGCTAAAAATCTTATTGACATTACGAAGTTTTGTTATGCTGTGAATTATCTGACGAATTTGTAAAGCTCAATTAATGGTCGGCAAAATATCTTAATCTGCGCCTAATTTGTAAATATCCAAGAAATTGCCTTACTCTAATTAAACTAATAATCAAAACAGTGTCATGTTTTATGCAACGCTGATGTAAGAAACAACTACAATTTTACTATAATTGATAGTTTAAAAATGAATCTTGTAGAGTTTGGGCAGTAAGAAGTGAAATTTCAAGCACCCAAATAAGTTGATTGACTCATCGAGTGTAATTTCTTGATATGCCCAGTAAAATCTGTATAAGGCTCAAGAATTAAAAAAAAATCTCATGTCAGTACATGTATATTGTTACATCAGTGTGTTAATAACATTTCAGTAATAAACTAATCCGTATCCGAATCGTAATCTGAACTTTCGGAGCAATTACCAATATTAATTATCATTTCGTTTACAGTGAAATCTAATACTTCTTCTCGTTTATACCACGCCTTTATAACGTCTTCTGTGTGTCGCACACAATTGGCCCAAAACGTTTCGTCACATTGTTGCAGTGCCTCGTTCCACATAGAAATTACACTGTGGTCACTGTAGCCGTCTCGTCCAATATGTTTATCGTAATAACTTTTAGCATGTGCCCACACCAACTCGATAGCATTAAATTCGCAGTGGTAGGGTGGTAATCGTAAAACATCATGTCCATGGTTCCTAATGATGTTGTCGACCTCATATTGTTTTTGGATTCCTAACGATTTTATAAATGAATACAGCTCGGGCTTGAAGAGTGTAGAATCAAAAGGAATATTTCTTCTGGTCAACCCAGCAACCATATCACCTTTAGTCCAAGACGATGTGGGCAGTTTCTCTACTAATGTAGAGTGGTATGGTGCATTATCGATGACAATTAACGAAGGCTTTTCCAAGTTGTTTAACAGATTATTGATAAGCCATTTCTTAAAGAGATCTCCATTCATTTCCCCATGATAGTCCTCTTTCAACGACTTCGAGACAAATAAAAGAGAAGCGTTCTGTATAAACCCGGTGCTTGTACCAGCATGGACAATAATAAATCTTTTCCCATCGTAACCTGCAGGTTTTCGCACACTTTTTAAATCTTCATCTTGCCAATCGGTACAAAAAATAGGTAGGTGTATGAAGTAGGTAAAATAACTCACACACAAAATAGTTCTAAAAAGAACTGTTGTCGACACTATGTAATAAAAGCGGAAAAAAGGTAAATGGAAAGAATCAAACAAAATGCAGTGACAGATCAACGAAATGAGAGGTTATGTATGTCGGTCAACAAAACAATCACGTAGCTAGTCAAATGAGTATCCAATTTTATAAACATGAGAAACAGGAGCCACCTTATTTTCATCGGTGTTCTCTTTTCACCGCATTGAATCCATTAATAGCGTACGTCGAACGCGTGAAATGCACTTTATTTATGATCTATCCTTGTTAGCGCATTTCCACAAAAATAAAAAAAAAATGCGCTATTGTGGCCACTTTGTCCGTCCGTCCGTCCGTCAGTCCGTCCGTCCGTCCGCTAACTTTGCGACGCTACTAGTTTTTTATCTTAAGAGCTATTGTTCTACTTTTTTCGCTATTTGGTTCGTTATGGTGTCGAGTCTTTTACCAAGGAAGGAATTTTTTCTGTACCGCTTACAAAAAAAGTTATTGTAAAAAAAACAAAAAACCGTTTTTTACATGTTCCATAATTTTACACTTTTGCCGTTTATTAACCATCCTAGAGATCGTTTATAATTTTGCATTGCTATCTGTCGCCTGCCGGTTGGTCTGTCCGTCTGTTCCTTTGTCTGTCTGTCCATCTATCTGTCCGTATGAACGATAACTTTGTTTAGAAATGTTCGATCGCTTTTACATCTCCGTTAGTTATGAACTGAATTGCATGAAATTCAATATGGCATAGCTTTAGCCATATAATACGCAATGCCAAAGTTGAATCGAAATCGATATCATTCACAAGCTGCCCTTTTCGCTCTCGACCATTTTATAAACCAATTCCAAACTTTTTTACTTATAAAAGCATTTGAATGAAATTTGATACATAGGCACTTGGGATAAAGGAAAATCAAACGCCAATTTCAAAATTTGGTTTTGCGCATGCGCAGTGCCAACTTTTTTATTTATGGAAGAATTTAAACGAAATTTGATACATAAGCACTTGGAATAAAGGAAAATCAAACGCCAATTTCAAAATTTGGTTTTGCGCATGCGCAGTGCCAACTTTTTTATTTATGGAAGAATTTAAACGAAATTTGATACATAGGCACTTGGGATAAAAGAAAGTCAAACGCCAATTTCAAAATTTGGTTTTGCGCATGCGCAGTGCCAAGTTTTTTATTTATGGAAGAATTTAAACGAAATTTGATACATAGGCACTTGGTATAAAGGAAAATCAAACGCCAATTTCAAAATTTGGTTTTGCGCATGCGCAGTGCCAACTTTTTTATTTATGGAAGAATTTAAATGAAATGTGATACATAGGCACTTGAAATAAAGGAAAATCTAGCGCCAGTTTCAAAATTTTATTTTGCGCATGCGCCGTGCCAACTTTTTTATCTATGGAACTATTTAAGTGAAATTTGATACTTAGGCGCTTGAAACAAAGGAAAATCTAACATTAGTTTTAAAATTGAGGTTTGCGCATGCGCAGTTCCAACTTTCTTATTTAGAAAAGCATTGAAATGAAATTCTTCTCATAAACTGAAATTGAAGTAGCACGTCAACAATGGATTGCCCATGTGCAATGCTATCTTTCATATTTGTGGCCGGATTTCTACGATTTCAACAGAAGTTGCATCTTACAAATGGGAAATGAATGCAAGTGGAAATGCGCTTTATGTAAATCGTTTACGATTACTTTTTAACTTGTTTGAATTGCGCGGTAATGAAATGGCATTATCAACAAGTTAGATGTTGCTTGATTCGTACGTTGATGACGCAGGGGCACAGATCCCTGGCAAGGATAATATATTCAATGCGATCAAAAATCAGTTGCGATGAAGTCGCCTTTGGAAGTTCAAGTTTAATACGATTTCCCATGTAAACAAAAATTCCATAGGTGACTTGACAGCAACTGATTTTTGATCGCGTATGGTTGTTGAGGGTGTAGAAAGTTGAAAAGAACCATGACGCCTTGAAAATTTTTTCGTATAAACTGGCCAAAGTGGCTTAAAAACTACGAAAAACTTCTTCGTTTCTTTGCCTTTGAGAACTTTTGAATTCAAAAATTATACTATACCATTATGTTTTACTTTACCATAAATGTCAATTTTATTGTTAAAGTCGGCCATATTGTAAAGCTTAATTGGACCCCAATCCAATAGGCATGTTATATGAATGCAACCATATAATGTATGCAACCCTCCAGGATTAGCGAGACCCCATGTCATGGTGGGTAAGTAAGGCGAGATATTTTGCATTGATTTTAATAGGAGCTATTTTAATGACTTTTTAAAAACCTACCTAGTTCATATGAGCATCTTATTAAATGGTGTACAAGGAGAATAAAGATCTATATTGGTATACATTCCTAAATAATCATAAATCGTACCTAAAGTTAGTCAATATGTTCGTCACTTATTTATTGATTTTGTATTAACTAACATCCAGAAACATTTAGACATGATCGCTGATTTATTATTACAGCATATTCTTTAACAGTCATCTTATACAGGATAATATTATCTGTATTCCTTGGATGGCATGGATTTTTTATTTTGTACATGAATGTTGTCACACTATTCTATTCCTTATTACACCATGGGTAATCACATTAGGTACAAGGTGTTGCATTTCAAATTTTTAAGATACTTCTTATGGCAGTTCTAAATATTAGGTTATACCTACTTAGTAGAAATATGATTTGTTTTATAGGAAACCGATTGTTCAGTTGTTGTCCATTATCCATTCAAAGAAGTGTGCACATGGTTTCCACAATCAGGACAGTTGGAGGTCTCAAGTGCAGGTTCATGTAAATTCATCGTAAAGGCTGAATATTTTATTAAATTGTTTTAGATTCTACAGGAGTAGCGGTTGGATCTTCTGTTGGTGTATTGGTACTTTTAGCACTTGTTGGCGGAGGTATAATAGTTTTTAAAAAAAGAGGTATGCAACGAAACACTTCGTATGAAACTATTTCAAGTGATAAGCGGCGACTGTATGTCTATTGTAAGGTAAAAAAACTAAAGTAATATTGCATCTGGTTTTGGGCTGTGTTCCTGCTTGCTACGATTTTGCAACCATTCGCACGCTGGCACAGGTGATGTTTTTGTAAACTAGCAGGGCATGGTCCATATGGATAACTTTCTGAGCAGTTTGTGACAATTGTTAATGGTCTGCTGGCTAGCTTGTAAAATTCATCATTGCGTTCCTAATATTTGTCATTTACTAATAGACATGCTCTTGCAGGTAGGTATATTGTAAAGAATAATATACTACAAAATCAAGTACGTTCACTTTTACATGTGGTGTGTGTTAATAAAGTTAAGTCTCAATTAATTAACGAAGATTCAGTATTCTTAGGAGGAACTGAACAATATAGTGTAGGAATATGCAGTATTTACATAAGTTAGGAAATATTGAAGGGACCAAGTACTTTAATTTCTGAGTAGTGTCTCTTACGAGTTTTGTATTACATTTTTTCCGAAATCGTTTTTTTCAACATAGAATTTTAAATTTCATTTAGAACTTTTAGTTGCTGTCAAAACTGACACACTAATGTGAATCCATCTGAAAATTGAAATTTTATATTAAAAAAGCGGATTTGCAGAAAAATGTAATACATGTCAGTAAAATGATACTACTCGACTTGGAAATTAAAGTACTTCACCCACACCCCAAAGGAGCCTCGTACTTCAGTATTTTCCTTGCCAGTTAGCTGTCATATTCCTGACTTTTATGCAAATAACTATTGAAGCTGTGCAATCGGCTATAGTTATTTGTACAACTAGTTTTGAAAGAGATACATTTTCACCCTCATTAATCCTGAAAAATCATGCAAAAAAGACACTTACAACACGTGTTGTAAACGAAGTTTTTTTACATAGTGATTAACTATCATAATTGAATAATATCATTGACATTCAAGATTTACTGTCACTCAAAAACTGAGCTAGTATAGGCAGGACCTAGGGCAGGACTACAGTGACTTTATAAGGACAGTGGCGACCAAGGTTGTTTTATTAGGGAGGTTGTCTGGTAACTCTAAACCAATAGAATGCTTGCATTTTGAAGGCGGGAAAACGTCATCCGGAATACACATTTAAAATTGCTCATAGGTTACAATGCTAATAAAAGGGATAAAATATTTAGTTTTTGCAGTATATTTTTGGATTTATATGGGTATATGTATATGGGGGTGGATCTTATATTGAAAATCTTGAAAGTTTATCGACTTCCACCTTTGAAAGCAATCAAAGTTTTGAAAAAATGAGTGTGGTGCGTAAGCTATTTTACATTGCACGAGGACTTGTGAAAATGTAATCAAATTAATTTTAAAGGTGGAAATGGATAAAATTCCGGGTTCCTACAAAATAGGAACCACCCCTATGTATCAATACCTAGGCTTTGGGAATTAAAACTCTACACATTCTTTAGCGGATGACGCCAAATAAAATGCTGTTGCTTTTTATGGAATATGTATATTTATAGTATGTACAAAATGGCAACCGAGATGCACACGGCGAGCTCTATATCGTTGGGGTGAACCCAGATGCAAGTCTTCTGACTGATGGAATGTGACGCGAGGTCGAGCTAGCAAGGCGACCTGATGGTTCTGCAGGTGGAGTCGTGGAGAGCTTTTTGTTTCTTGAAGTGCAGTCGAAGCAGAAATTGCGTTGCACTGTGCAGAGTTCGTGGCTCTGCTTTTAAACGTTTGCGGCCAGGGACGCTACGCTTTCATCGGTTGGCCGTTTTGACCAATGAGGGCGCAGCACGTTTTAGTTTGCTGTCGGATGTGAAACATTTTCTTACCCATTCTTTAAGAACGATAGGGTCTTTGGGAAACGTAAAAACAGATTTTATTTACACCAGGATGAGGAATTTTAGTGTTACCGCCACTCATCTAAAAAAATACTTAATTATAACATACAAAAGTGCATATAATTGATGAACTAACCTTTCAATCACGGCTATAAATACCCACAACATTCACAAACTAAATGTCTTTATATTGCACCAAACAGGTATCTACAGCTAATATATGTCCTTATGCACTTCAAAATTCAATAAATTTTAAACAAATAAACTATAACTCAAGAAAAATAAGCACCCGCGCGACTACAAACAACTTTGAACGTCAATGTCTGAATTCTCGATGACGTATATATTCCGTCCCTCCCGCTTCCGCCCACATAGTTACCAGGTAACCTTTGAAATAAAATAACCTTGAGTGGCGACAACTTATCATAATGCGCCATATTGGAGCTAAAAAATTGATTGTAGGATCAATTTGCCTTGTCATGTCAAATTGTGACCATAGAATAATAAATGTCAGTTTCATTTAAGTAAAGATTCTCGTTCAAAACTAACGGCGCAGAAACGATCGTTTAAAGCTTTGCAGAACAACCTATGGGAAAACCACTGCCTCCCAAATTCAAAAAGATATATGGAAAACGGTATAATAAGTATAAAACATGGTGCAATATCCAAAATGTACAGATAAAGGTAACCGCTAATCATTAAATTGTATTTGACATTTCAGTGTCTTTTGTCACTTCTTGTCCCTTGGCGCGTGTTTCTCCTTCTGGAATAAAAAGTATTACTTTACCCCCTTAAATGGAAGACAAAAAACGTTGATCTAGTCCATGGAGTACAAGAGATCAATATTCTTTGTGCTTCAGCAATCATCAATGTTAAAGTCACTAGATATAGAAAGTACCGCAATCATCCGCCATTTTTGGGCAAATTTGCTGCCCACTTAAAAAAAGTGACAAATAAAATCTGAATAGCTGTAATTTTTTATAACCTAACTTCATAGTGCTGTCATGTTTTATAAAAATATATACAGATATCTCCAAACCGGTGGAACAATCCCTAACATTAAAGTTACTAGAATCTGGTAACTTCCGCCATTTTTGGGCAAAAACACGATACACTTACGGTCTATTCAGTATATCTTCCGTTGCACGTCATTGCCTGAAGAAAACGACGTACCAACGTAAATTTACTTTCGTTTATTAAGCAACACATTAAGCTTGTAGTTTATTTTGGCCGCAACAATTGGTAGCATTTCGCTATGTTGTCGCGTTTAAATTGGTAAATTTGACAGGTTGCTTTTGGTTTACTTTTCGTTTGATTTGATTTTGATTATTTTCTACGTCTTTCGCTGTGCATTGGTTTGAAGAGTAATTACTGAAGAATTTTGATAACCCGTCAGTAATTGTGTTCGATAACGGGAAAACAGACAACATTAAAGTGTGGTTAGGAGATCATAATGTGCAGTTCTCCGAAAATGATTTTTAAGCCGAACTGTTGAAAAGGTTGCACAGTAAGTACGTTCGCAAATTATTTGGTATTATCTAAATCTTGTTAATACTTTTAGGAATAAATCGGCTAAAATGTACCGCATAACGCATTGACCACTTAGCCGAGCAATACGGTTCCTTCGTTTTACGATTACCACCCTATCATCCCGTTTTTAATCCTATCGAACATATTTGGGGCATAGCGAAAAATTACTACAATCGACACATTGGTAGAGATGGACGAAGCATTGAAAATTGCATAAACATGTGACAAGAAACACTACAACGATAACTTCCGAAACGTGGCGCAATTCAGTTAAGGATACGGAAACTGTAATACACGAGTGGTACGAAAGAGAAAAGCAATTAGATCTTGAAAACGTTGCTACTATTATTATAAACTTTGAACACGAAAGCAGTTCCGATGATTCCGATTAATTTGAATATCATCCATCACATCACATAACCTGTAAAATTTTATATTTAGTACTTTCTCTGTAAAAGAGATGCTACATTTGTACAGTTCATAAGTTATTAAAGTATATTGTATGTATATTGTGGTTCCAATTAACGAAATGAATAATAAAAATTATTTTTATTTTATTTAAGGTGTGGATTGTTCACACAAAGAATGCACTGTCTTGTTGACAAGTGACATAACCTAAATCGTTCAAAACTAGATTTGGCATTATTGCATAGTAATTACGTCACAGAAAATGATGACGTGCAACGGAAGTTATACGGAATAAAGTGTACAACGGTATGCTCTTGCGCATCTAGCGTGACGTCACGTGCGAACAAAACCACAGAATATAGAGCAAAATTACGATGCTTAGATCGACAAATCACAAGGTTAGTTGACAAATCATACTGATTTGTGTAGAGATCCTCGCGTAAGTTATTTCTGGGATTTCGTGATCGTGTGAAATAAACTCTAACCAAAATTGATCCTAAACATGAAATGCGGCTGTTTCAGTAAAAATTATATAATTAATGCGTTATCAAAAGATCTAATCTCTCCTCCGTGTCCCTTTTATTTTGATTTTCATTATTACGCGGTAGTTTTAAAGTAGGTAAAGCATCAGGTTTCAAACATCCGCTGTTTTTAAAAGTAGGTCTAATTAAGAAGTCGTTCCCTTAGCGGTGCTTCAAAACGGCTGGCTTCAAAATGTTCATAACAAATACAGGATATAGGATTAAACAGCAATGGAAAGACTTAAACACACCACTTAATAATAATGTAACACCATTTTTCAAGGTAATTTTGTCCTTACGACGACTTGCAACAATCCATTTTAGAGAAAAGTCTTCAATTTTCGGAAATCGAAAGTACCTATTTTATTTCCACACACAACCTGGCATTTTGGAATTTTCACTAATGATTACTTAGCTATCAACACATTAATGCTTAGCTATCAACAAATTAACGCTATAAAACTCGTAAATACAACTGAAAAGGTGCAAACTGTCACGCGTGACATCTGTACTGGATTTTTCCGTGCGTAAACATTTGAATTTTGGCGCCACACGTTCGCAGGTGACGTAATGCGCAGTAGAAAACGCGTTTGAGAAAAATAATGAGCATACCGTGTGTAAGTGTATCGTGGGCAAAAATCATGCGTTCTCTCTCTAACACACGAGCCCAATGGATTGCGGTACTTTCTATATCTAGTGACTTTACATCAATGTTAAACATTAAACCAATTCAAGCGTATTTATGATCACAATTGCGTTATCCATAACCATAATTGAATTTGCTGCTAAATTTCGGATAAGCTGTTTCTCTAACCAGTTTTCTATCTAAACGCATTAGGTATTTAAACTGTATTCATTTTTAGAAGTTAGCGGTAGAACGTATAGGGAAGCTTTGACCTTCAGTATGATTGGTTAAAATACGAGTCAGTATTACACTGAAACATAAAACGAGTGGCGAATTTTGCAAGATGGTAGTTTCTGTTGCCATCTAAACTGTTGAAGTGTCATTAACTGTTAATGTCAAAGATTTATTTCTGTTTGCAGGGCTGGATATTTCTACTTTACAATTACTTTGTGCCGTTTGATATTTTTCCTGTGTGTACTTATCTTCAAACACAGCGCCATCTACTACCTTCTAATAATGAATACAGTATAGGTCTTCTTTTTACATCAGTTACCAGTAGTAAGGTTAGGCACAGCTTTACATCTAAAAACACTTTAAGTGAATTACATATCTTATAATATCGTAAATCCAAGCTATATGCTCGGCTATATATGCGTCTTTAAAAATCGAGTTTATATAAAACTGGAGACGGAAAACGTAAAATAAAGCAAATACAAGAAGCAAAGTGTAAACTAGTAACGTGAAGCCGGGACCATTGCAGGTGACACTGCTAAAACAGTATAGTAATTATAGCACGGAGTGTACCGCGTCGTTTTGGAGGCTTTCTATTGGCCAGTTTGGAATTTAGCTCCAGTATGGCGACCGTAACCAACGACCAATCAAAAATGAGATGCCCTGTTGTCGCCACTGTCCCTATAAAGTCACTGTAGGCGTGACTAAACGCCATGGAAACTCACAGTATACTAGTGTAGTACGTGTAGTATACTCTTAGACCATATAGTACATGGACTGCTAATTGTAACTAAAATATGGTCAAGGACATCGCCTGGGTATGCGAGTTTCAGGGTAAACGAGTCTGTCCGAAGTTGTCCGATTAGACACGATTTGAGACTGTCAACCTATAAATTAACAAACGTCAATTAATTAATCGCCTAGATATCCCAAAAAAAGCAGACTTATTCTTATTTGAGGACGTATAGTAAATAATGAAGAGTATTTAAAGCTTCCCGTACTACGCGGTTACTATAAAGCTGCTCTTTAAGCGATCCTAGTGGTGTTTACACGACTTTAGTTTACCCTGAGATTCACATACCCACGACTACAGTGCCCTCTATTCGTGACCATCCATTTTGTATTGAAAGCATAGGGCGAATAGCAGTCCATGTACTATATGGTCTAAGAGTATACTACTGAAAAAAAGTACCACTTTCCAGACGATTTTTTTATAAAAAAAGTCCTGTAAATTGATAACTATGCAAAAAAAGAAATTGGTATCACGCTTTACAAACTAAAACGGTATGCACAGCAGGGACCACATACTTTGCTTACTCATGAGAGCTTCAAATTAGATAGGTAATGACATTCACACAATCTGATGATGTTACAAAAAGTATAGTAAGCACCTTGCTGATCCGGACCTTGTTAATTCAACCACAATCTGAACAAATTTAGGATAATCTGAATTCTCCCACCAAAACCTGCGGACGGGCGTAATGCGACCAGAGATGTGATATTTACATTTAGAACGGTTGTTATGCTCCAAGGCAAATTATTCATTCTCATGTGTAAAGCCCGCTTGACATGGAGCAATAAAAATTGCAATTGCATGCAAGTTGCAAGAAAAATTGCGAAAGGCATGCGCAGTTCAAAGCCAGCTGATCAATTGCTGCAAGAGACTTGCATGCAATTTTTATAGGACTGGTGCTATTCTTCTTGCATGAATCGTGCAATTCTAGGGATAAATCTAGTTGTTTTTGTGTCACCAACCTAGTAAAATACAGAAGCGGCAACTATGATGCTGAGAGACGCACTCATTACTTGTTTTTATTAATCTTATTTATTTTTGTAATTTTTATGTTTCTTCAAGCAATCAAAATTTAATTTTCATTTGAGGTTAACTACTTTGTTGACAAATCCATATGTTTCTTCTGTTGGCAGACATGTGGCAATTGAAATAGAATTGCACCATGTCAAATACCATGCAATGCTTATTGCATGCAAGGATTTGACCTTGCAATTTCTTTCTGCAAGTTCTTGCGCGTTGTATTGGTCCATGTCAAGCGGCCTTAACGTTTATTTCTCAACAAATTATTCAAAATATGGTTTTCGAACAATTCACTAATCTGAACAACCTTTGGTCCCAATTAGTTTGGATTAGCAAGGTCTTGTTATGTATAGATTAATTATCTAGGACCTTATTAGGAATTGTAAGCTTTGCATAACACGGTACAGGTAGTAAGAGCAAAAGAAAGTCGCAAACTGTGATACAAGTAAATTAGTTTATGCACCGTTGCTTTTACTGCTGATGTACAAAGTGCGAAGACTCCATGTTTGAGATTCGAACCATCCACCTAATTTGAATGAACTGGTTATTAAATGAAAGCACTTCTTTGTTGAGATGTAACAAAAATTTCTGAGTGCAACAAACTGCCCTTTTTTTGGTTTTCAGAACTATAGCTAACTTTAGACTCATAAAATGAATGATGATGATCAAATATCTTAAAAAAACAAAATAAATAAAAAATAAACAAAGTAAGTAGAAGACAATGTTATTGTGAAAATTTATTTATTATATTAATAATATCAGTAAAATAATCAGACTACTTTAAATATCATAATTCTATTACTTCTACTTCTAGTACAAGGGAATAGATTAATGTGATTGCTTTCATTAATTTGATCAAATCTGTGCTACTTCTCGCTTAAATCAATCTTTGAACAAATTGGCGCGTTTTGAGTTCTTGAGTAAATCAAAGCACAACGCACAAACAGACTTGCGTGTATCACAATTTGCAGTTCAATATTGCTATAGAGTTTGGTATTCTAGCACAGAGCACTCTCCTGATTTTTCAAACTGTCCCTTTCTTTATTTTTTATTGATTGAGTTAGAGGTTTAACATAGATGATATTGCATTGTTTAAATTGTGGTAGTCACTTTAGTAGCTTTATAAACTGCCCTTTGTATTGATCTTGTTCCTAACTTAATCTTGCACTGTCTGTTACAGAACGCAGAACTGTAAGCAGAATATAATAGTACCAGCTCACTCGTCGAACCAAAAAAGCGTTAATTTATTGAAGCAGCCAAACGAATTGTTATGTGCAGTATGTGATATAAATGTTGATGTTTCATCATCATAACGCCCAGTTGTATAATATATGATTAAAATCTCTTTGCGAGCTAACCACAAATTGAAGGACCAATTATGTTTACTATTCTTTAATTAATTTGCAGGAAATTTCCTTTTTCTTTGTGAACTGGACATATTACATTTATTTATATATCAATTTGATTCATTGCTTTTTATTTTTGGAAAGAATGAAATTGTTTAGTTTTTTTACATATTGTTTTGGAAATTAGTATACGATGTCAAATTTGCCCATATCCAGTTCACATTCACATCATTCACATTTGTTGTATTGGAATATCGCTATGGACTGTACGGATCTGTGATCACCATTTCAAAAAGGTAACGTTTTTAAATTGGAAAAATTTACGAAACATAGCATTACATTTGAGAAGTATTATTAAATTTTAGAATATTCTTTTGTGCATTTTGATTTTAATGTTAATATAGTTCCTGATATTGTCTTGACTGAATAGAGTATATTATGATTATAGTTTGAAAATTTAATGTTCAAGTTTTTATGTTTATACATTTTTGTTAGTAATATAAAAGCACTATAACTATGGGTTGTTTTTTTCTGTGACATTCATTTTTTTAAACTTTGTATTAAAAAAAAGTTAAACTATAAGCAGGATGTCAAAATGTTGAGAAATGTTTCTTAAAAGTATCAAAGAAGCTTAAATGACCTGAAGCTAGTTGTGCGTAGTAGCACTATCATCAGGTGGGGACTTTTTTTTACGACATAGGCAAGTGGTATCAGATACTGTTCTTCCACTGAACATTGATTTATAAAGTTTATAAAAATGTATCTGGATTACGATAGGAGCGCCTTACCTCGCTAACTAGAATTGTTCGACCCTTGCATGTCATCCACAAAGTATATGTGCCATCTCGTCGTCTACAAGATAGTGAAGCAGAAGGGCTTCCATGACGACTATGGGGTTGTCCGCAAAGCACCCGCGTAAGCAAGGCCCGCTAGCTTCTGCACATGATTAAGAAGCGTTGTGCTTGTGGAGAGTCTATGATTCTGGGTCACCAAGAGACTAGTTACTACAGTCTCTGGGGTCACCAAACAATTGCTCCGCCACAGAAATTGGCTCTAATCACGGCAGTTATACACTGCCTTTTTTTTGGTTTTGAGGCCCAAAAAAAATTCTCACATCGACCCGGAAAAAAAATTTTCTTATAGAACGTGGCCTGTAGAATCCATAATTTCAAACAGTTCCAAGATTGGGCTACTAGTTCACAAGTTACAGCCCTTTGAATTTTTTTCGAAATTGGTTTCTAGTCTATAACTTTTGATTGAGAAGTCTGATCGAAAAAGTAGGAACTGTTTTGGATTCTACGCACCAAAATTAGTAAGAAAAAGTGTTTTCCCGAGAAATTTTGGTACAGTCGATTTTTGGTAAAAAAGGAAGGTTATACACTGCGTTTTTTTGAGGCGGGAAAAAGAATTGTCTCAGATCGACCCGGAAAAAAAATTTCCTTATAGAACGTGGCCTGTAGAAACCCATAATTTCAAACAGTTCCAAGATTGGGCTACCAGTCCAAAAGTTACAGCCCTTTGAATTTTCTTTCGAAATTGGTTTCTAGTCTATAACTTTTGATTGAGAAGTCTGATCGAAAAAGTACGAATTGTTTTGGATTCTACCCACCAAAATTAATAAGAAAAAGTGTTTTCCCGAGAAATTTTGGTGCAGTCGATTTTTGGTAAAAAAGGAAGGTTATACACTGCCTTTTTTTGAGCCCCGAAAAAAAAATTGTCTCAGATCGCCCCGGAAAAAAATTTTCTTATAGAATGTGGCCTGTAGAATCCATAATTTCAAACAGTTCCAAGATTGGGCTACTAGTTCAAAAGTTACAGCCCTTTGAATTTTCTTTTGAAATTGGTTTCTAGTCTATAACTTTTGATTGAGAAGTCTGATCGAAAAAGTACGAATTGATTTGGATTCTACGCACGCAAATTAATAAGAAAAAGTGTTTTCCCGAGAAATTTTGGTGTAGTCGATTTTTGGTAAAAAAGGAAGGTTATACACTGCCTTTTTTTGAGCCCCGAAAAAAAAATTGTCTCAAATCGACCCGGAAAAAAAATTTTCTTATAGAATGTGGCCTGTAGAATCCATAATTTCAAACAGTTCCAAGATTGGGCTACTAGTTCAAAAGTTACAGCGCTTTGAATTTTCTTTCGAAATTGGTTTCTAGTCTATAACTTTTGATTGAGAAGTCTGATCGAAAAAGTACGAATTGTTTTGGATTCTACGCACCAAAATTAATAAGAAAAAGTGTTTTTCCGAGAAATTTTGGTGCAGTCGATTTTTGGTAAAAAAGGAAGGTTATACACTGCCTTTTTTTGAGGCCCGAAAAAAAATTGTCTCAGATTGACCCGGAAAAAAAAATTTCTTATAGAACGTGGCCTGCAGAATCCATAATTTCAAACAGTTCCAAGATTGGGTTACTAGTTCAAAAGTTCTTCTTCACTTTACAATTATTTTGTGGGATTCCTGCAGCAGACTAAATGCTCAATGACCCCGTAGGGTCAAACCGAGGAGCTCAGCCGCTGTAGAGGTTTATGGTTATTTACTCTTTGGTACAGAACTAAAATGCTTGGATCAGCGTGACCGTAGAAATGTATAACTACCTGAAATGCCGGCTTCTAGCAGCAGACTAAATGTCGGTCTGTCAAGAACTTCCGGCTATTTGCCTGCCGACAGACCGAGTTATTTGTGCAGCTGACGTCAAGAGCTTTAATTTGGTACCACATATGACCTACTTTTCTTAAAAGTAATGATTTCTTATGAAATATACAAATAAACAATTGAATTTGTTTACCTTCCGGCTAAATGCGGTCCGACAGACCGAGCGTTTCGTGTATGGTCACCTCTAATATTTGTTCATGTATACGTTTTATGCTGCTATTTGAATGGTAATGGTTTGCGTCGCGGGCTCTTAGACTATTTGGTTTGTCTATAGTGTATAAAGTCAAGGAAAGGAAACCGCACCTGCCCTCAACAAGGTTTGTAAATGGTGTGCCATGAATGTAATGAGACATGATGAAAAACCAAACCCACTATACATTTACAAAATATCCATGCCAGAACCCTGATTCGAACCAGGGACAATCGGTACAGGGGTGTGGAACTTCTACTCAACTGTTTTGTGATAGAAATATAAGGAATTTAATTTGATTTAAACTATTACAACAAAGTCTTTACCACTTTAATATAGTATAAACATTTCTACTTTGTGTATCCTAATATATTCAGTATCTTTGTAATTGTTAGTGCAGAACATCGTCTTGTAGATAAATAACTTAGTACTTCAATAATCTCCGAACAATTCTGCAAATGTTGCAAATCATGCGGTATATCGTAGAATGTAATATAACTAACTAATTCCGTTTCTTGATCTATTCTATTTGTGTGGCCTCCCATTACATAGTTTGCAATTTCGCCTTTAACCACAGATTCATACTCTCCCATTAATTCCATAAGCTCTTGATGTAAAGACAACATTACCTCGCAGGAAAGAAGATGAGTTGTAAGCGAATTTTCGAGAACTTGTTGCGCTATGAGCTTAAACTGCCAAAGTTGTGATGTGCTGGTTGTATTTCGAAAGTCTTGGATTGTCTTCAAAAGAAAAAAATTTATTAATCCCACAGTAATTCACAATCATTCAAGTTGCAATCCTTTTCAATAGACACTGAATCTGCCACTTAATGAGTGGATGTCGCAATAGGATGATAAGAGTTTGTAAGGAGTCCAAACTCGTATATATTTAAATGTACAAAGCGTAAATTGTGCCCTTTATACTTACCCTGAGCAACACCATTACAATTGCCAAAATTATTTCTTTGTCTTTAATGACGCACTCGTAGGTGGCCTTTGTTAACAATTTCATAAATTTACTTTCCATTGTCCCAGTTAGATAACTACTGGGACTTAAGAAATTCTCACAAAAAAGACGCATGGCCGTGTCTGATGAGAATGAAGTTATAACTTTAGCTGGAGGATTCCACGGAACCGTTTCAGACTGTGTCAATGTCTTGGCCAATTGAGTGCGAAATCCAAATTTATCCTCTATGTAACTTAAACATCCAGCTCTTTGTTTTACTTCGATAATTCCGCAAGAAGATAGTAATTTTCTAAAAAGTGAAATGGCAATGTAATCACAACGATTTAATTACTTACTCTAGTTGTTCCCAGTTGCGCCCTCGCTCAAATTCCACACGCCAATACCTATCATCTTCCACAGAAACTTTTGACAAGAAATTTAAATCGGGAACAATGCATGGTCCTCTTAAATAAGCGAAGCTGCCATCCAGATTGACGACTTTCAACCTTGCGTAACATATACGGCTTGTACCGACATCTTTGGGAATGATGAGGCGTGGCTCTACTGCTAGTACATACAAATGTCGGAACGCTTGCAAATGATACCTGTTATCACAGCTGTGGGTAGGGAACTTGGGGTAAAAGGCGCAAATTAAAGCGGCTACGCTGGCCGGTGAATTAGATAAAGTGAAACGTCCTCCTCCCAAGAATAACAGACCCAAGGCCATATGTATTGCCATGTGTGATCCATATGTAACAACGGTACTACTGGAAATGCCAACTCTTCGACGTAAATGGCGTACGATACGCATAATCTCCAAATTTCCTGTTCCTGCCATAACCATCGAAGTTGAAACCAGCAATACATTTAAACACGTTTCAATTGTTGGTTTGCCGGCTAATTCCGCAATCGATTTTGATGTTAAGGATATAAACATATGACAATACTGTAGCAAAGCAGTGAAAGCTTCGTAATTGGCAGATCCGGCATATTTTAAACCGATTGCGAAACACGCTCCCGCAATTATATTACAATAAGCTTGACTAAAATTTTAGATTTATTGTTTAGCGTTTGAAGAGCGTATGTTACTTACTTCATGGCTTCATAATCAATATCTGAAGCGCTAGGAGTTACCATACAGAAAGGCCGAATGGTGTCGGGCACTTGACTCTCTATCCAATCTCGATTCGGTCGTATGTCATTCCACATTATTAAACCTATAAACATTCGTCTATCTGACTTCAAATAAATTACCTTAGAGAATGGAATAGTGGGACGACCTTACAAAGAAAAGAGAAGCTACTGACTTGGAAATGAAAATTTCATAGTTCTGGACGCGAAAATCTGAAAGTGGGGCGCAGCACTCGCGGATTGTAAAAGTATCCCATTTTTCATAAAAAGAAAGCTAGGGCCCCTGTTACAAGCACCTACATTTTCGTGGGGCAAAAGAGTATAGGCGCTTGTTTAAGTGAATTATTATATTCAGGCTCAAAGAAATAAAAAACTTTCATTTCACCATAAAAGTTCCAGATGTGTCCCTGAGCTCCAAAAATGAGATAGCTATTTAACCTTCACTAAGAACACATATTGTTATCCCATTATCGGGCACAATTTTCAATTCATACAGCTCAAAATTTCAGGGTAGCTGAATTGTTGAACTCTGGAATCCTATTGTGGGGCAGTGTGAGCATAAATTTAATTTAGCACATTCAGGATGTCGCAAATTCGAGGATTACGACCGTGGTGCGCATTCGGTAGCTGAATCTAACGCTACTTAGAAATTGAAGGAAATCTGAATACTTCGAGAGATAATCGAAAAAAAAAACAAAATCCCTAGTTTGATTTTATTTTTTTGCGAATTTATTTAAAGAAATTTTTTTAAAACAAATGACATTTTTTAAGATAAAAAAAATGCAGGCACGTATTTAAAAAAATAAAGATGATGGCCCTAAACAACTAAAAACTTCAAATTTTCAAATTTTGAAGAAATATTCAGTGTTCCAAAGGAAGTTTTCACCCATCATATGACTTATTTGTTTTTCACATAAGTTTTCACTTCTTTGTTTTTTGTGTGTTATTTGAAATTAAAAATATTTGGAATTAATAAACATTTCCAAATAACCCAGAAATGGTCGCTTTAAACAATACTGCCATCTTTTGTTCGCCATGGAAACCTAGATGGCTGCAATAAAAATATTTTAATGTATAAAATGCAATATTGCAAATAATATTTAATATAAATATATAGGGTTTTACGCTCTTTTAAAAAAACCCAAAATATATAGGGTGATGGTCTGTATGAAGAAAATGTATTTCAGGGAAGTATAAAAAAAGCAAACACCATGTGTAAAAACTGTGTATCACAATGGACTCTACATAAAAAAGATTTTGCCAAACCAATTATCTTTAAAATCAGAAAATTATGGGGCATTAAAGAAAACGACTATCGCCCCCTAGCGGTCAAACAAAAAAGGTCAAATCAAACGATTACAGATAGCTGTTAATTCTGTTTACGCCAGTAATTTTCTCCTTAGAAGTGAGCTCCTAGGTTCACTTTTTTTATCTCTTAACAATAAAGAGTCTTTCCATGCAAAAGTGTCCAATTTGGACACCCTGTACATACAAGGTGTTTTGTGAAAAATTGAACATTTATTATCATGAGAACAAAGGCACCCTCAAGGATTTCAGAATTGACGGAATTGTACTTTTCGATGGTCTAAGACAGGTATTCCTTGCTAAGTAGTTTTCAACTTTACTGTTTTATAATCCTGATTATTTTCTGTTGTTTGAGGTTATTTAAGAAGCTAGAAACAAATACAAATGGAATATTTTGTAAGTGTACTTGCAAGTCTTAGACCCTCTTCAAAAATTTTGCACGGAGTCAAGAGCCACGCAATTTGAAAAGTTACTCAATTCTTAAACTTTGATGTTCACCGCTTTGGTTTAATAAAAATGGGCTTTACAGTCCAAGATCCCAGAGCCACTAGAGACTACTTTTTTTAAATGTGTGATGGAACCGAATTAGCCCGCTAAAATTCGATTTAAATATTCCCGAATCAGAGCCTGGCGCGACGAAAAAGGTCAAGATTGCGCTTTGTTTCGTTTTCGTGGAACACGTGTTTTTTTCTTCTCTGCTCTACTTTGCAATGGGCCATAATTTACAATAAAAGTGTCAAATATTACGCTATGCCAGCTATGCGAGGAAACTTAATGATCCGTATCAACCCGTCTCGGAGCACGTTCAAATTTCGTCTAGGATTTGTTTAAAAAAAAAAGGGGGGAGAATGCGGGAGAAGTATGTGTTTTTGTTGAGACCAGAAGTAAATCTTTACGTTGCGAATAGTGAGTGCAGCTTCGACAATTACAAAGGTGATGTACTCGTTTTTTTTTATCTCTACGTCTATTGCATCCCTCTAATAATGATATGATCGTGTTCGATTATTTGCCAATTTAATGTTATTCTCGTACCGCATGATTATCGCCATTTATAACACATTCTAGATACAAATTGCACTTTTAATTATACTGGTCCTACTGTGAATGACTGACCGATTTACATGTTTTTATTTATATTTAGATACTGTATGTTCTCTTAGGGGCTATATTCAATACAAGTATGCAGAACTACATTTTAATTTATAATTGAATTTATTGCAGCACATTTCGCTTTTGTTTACCTGAATATGTTACTGCGTATTTACAGGGTGCCTCATCTGGGGGCGAGTGACGTACGTTAGGTGGTTGATTGTTACATATTGCACTTGGCATTGTGAATTAATTACTTGATACCAATGTTTGCCACGACATGTTCCTTTGTATTGTTGTAATGTGATAGTACATAAAATTATGCTCCTACTATTTATTTGAACCGGGTGATTATGATTATTAATATTTGGCGGGGTGACTTGTTTCGAATATGTACTGTGCTATATTTGATACCGATAGTATATCTCGATTTGACGTAGCAGAGGCTGGCTAAAGTTCAGAACTGACATACGCAGAGATATATATTTTATGTACTGTTTTTTTGTGTCTTCGAGGGAAGCCATCTTGCCAATATTGCTAATCAATTCGTTTAGTCGATCCCTGTCATGTAGTGACCAAATATTGGTTTTGTGTCAGTCTTTGTTATGCCAGTGCAAATACGTTAACTGTCAACGCCTACATGAATTGTGTATATTTTGTTTATAATTTGGTATGCGTGCGAGTTTGCCGTTGGTTACTCTGTTATTTATGTTATGTCATGACTTATCTTTTGATCGGTTATTGTCAGTACTCATGGTCGAGAGCCTGGAGTTCGGTAATTTATAACCTGGCATTTTAAGACTAGTGGGTTGGACTGGCCTGTATGAATGAAAGAGTTGGGGTCCCGCTAGTCGTACATGGGGCTGCTGGCTAAGCCCGACCTCATTTGTGCAGGGATTCGCTAAAAGCGTGTGGCGTGTTCTCGTTGTGACCTTATGGTTGTGTTAAACAACTATATCCTTCCTATGTGAAAGGCTCTTCTGAGAGGCCAACTCCTAGCGATTTCATACAATGTTGACCAGAGCAACTAATGACTACTCGGTGTGGGATTTGGACTGGCCATCCAATATCCAAACCTACTTATATGAATTCATTGTAATGTTTTAATGAGTGTTTTTGTTATGTGTGTGTAATATTTATTCTTTAGGAATTCCAGTGGACCCTGGGATTCGACATTGTATTGATGTACGTGACAACATGCCTTTATGCCATTACAGACGACTAATTTTGCTATAAAGTTCAATATTAATTTGTTGGCTGGGTTTTTTCTTGGCCAGTTCTTTTTTCCCCAGCCTATTTTTATATTTGTACTCGGTGAACTACCATTTTCTAAATTTAATTTTGCAATGCAAATTATTTGAATTAAATCTCCGTTTTTAAAGCATGTACTTGTTTTATTTGTATTCCTTACTTGATCCTCACTCCGACAGGCAACACATATCTTGTAGCGACTCTTAGAAACACAACGTAGTAAGTGGTCCTATTATTTTGTCATTCAGGTTAGGTAGCTTTGTCTAGACGATCACGTGCCATGGGGTTCAGTTAGTTTTGGAGGGAAAGTTTTGAATTTTAAATCTTGAGTTGCGCAGTCTCTCGGGGCTGGCCTGGGTACATCACAAATGGATAAAACCTTAGGTTCTGAGTAGTGTCTCATGTACTTAGAACGCTTGTGTACTTTATACAGTTGGGTCTGTGATCAACACCAAAGCTCAATTCACTGTCTATCCTTTGGTAGATTTCTGTGCAATACTATCGTTGAGTAGTGACAGAGAAAAGCTGCGTTTCTTTACTAAAAATCTGTAAGCAATGGTAAACTTTAAATTTGGATGACATTTGAAATGTAATTGACACCACACTTGAGGTCATTGACCTTACATGCCCTTAAAAATGTAATTTGAGGCATTGCCCTTTGAGCTCGACCACCGCCCACGTGGCACTCGATTTTCACTTTGACCTAATTTCCAAGGCCATCGCCACGTGACAGTCCATCTTGACCTAATGTTCAAGGTCACCACCAGGTGGCGAGCGACCTTGAACTAAGCCAGGTTCGACCTCATATGAATACAATAGTATACTATTTTCTAAAAGCTAGTGGAGGTTGTCTCACTATTCTATTCTTTACTCTGTCAAATGACTTACTCCTTGACAAAATCCTGAGCATCAAGAAATCAGGACGAACAAAATCTAGTAAGTACTGAGTGGTAGGTGGCGCCATCCAATCGGCTAAAATTTTATTATCGCTCCTTAAATACATTAATCCCAAGGCCAGCGTAGCTCCGGGCGCAGTTACATCTAAATTCACGTTGGAACCTTCACGAATTTGGAAGGACGGTACTCTATACCTATCTCTTTGACTACCTAATCATCGGATTAAATAATTACCACTTATACAAATTAGTTCTCAATGATTACCTTCTAAAACTCTTCTGTTCCCGCCCACCATATAATAATGCAAAGTATCGGGAACGTTCAAATCAGACAGACCCGATGGTCTGCCGCCCTGCTGCAAAGTGACAAGACCTAAAGCTAATCCGGCAGCAAGCGAATACGATTCTCGATCAGTGCTATTTTCCATTTCCGGACCAGGTGGACGTCCAATTTCGGAGATTAAAACCTCAGTAATGTGCCGATGGGCAGTTCCTTGGTAAGCAAGACCGACACCTAGTAAGGCGGCTACTTGCAAATTTTGGGGAATATCAAGCTCCATCGATGTGGGTGGTAGCAGTGCTTCCAAATGCACACTTAACATTTTTGTTATTACGGTATTGGCAGTACCACGCATGGCGGAAGCTAATCCTACAATAACAAATTGAAGAATGTTGGTACACCTGAATTGAAAATTACCTAGTAGTATACCAATGCTAGTCATTTCGTTCGCTTTTATTAGATAGTTGTAGGTGTTCACTATGGTTAAATTAGTTAAATGACCGTTCAGTCCTAGAGCCATTAGAAACCCGGCATGCTCATAATTGGTTTCGGTCGTGTTTTTGGGTTTATTGAATATAATCCATGTCGAGTCTATATTGTGGGCGTCAGGTGGTATTCGTAGTCCATTAGCGACACCATTGTGGAATAAGGGCCAATGTTGCATATTTTGTGGGTAGTCAATGTGGGCGAGTTCCACAGTGACGCCATGCGGAGGAGCTTTGCCCAATAGGCATAATTTAGGGAGCGGCAATGGTTCCGTCACAACAGGTGTCGCTGTTCGTAATGTGAACATACCTCTAAAAAAATAAAATTTTACAATGACACCAAAAAAAAGTATGACCCCGAATTAATACACAACTAATAGCAATGAAAATTATGTTAACATGTGACTGGGATCTCTCCAATGGAAAATAATAACCAATTGAAAACAGGAGGTTCCTAAATATGATTGTCATATGAAAGGGGCTAATATTTTGGTTTATTTTAAAAGTTCATATAAACTGCAAACGCTTCGTTACCGATCTACAGGGTGTTATAATTTCACGATTTTTAAAATTTTTTCTGTACATCTGCTCCAGTCTTTAAAATATTTCGCTCAAATTTGAAATATAAGTTACGCAGAGGGGCTTACAGCATTGTTCATGGCACACAGCCAACGAATAAGAACAATTTTATTCTTTTGTTGCTCTACAAAGGTAAGCACACCAAACCATCACTTCAATGAGGGAAAAAGAAAAAACTTACGAAAGTAAACGAAAATGAGAAAAGAAAAACAAGTATAAATTGTAGCCCATTTTTTTAAACAGAAATAGCTTTTGTTTTGACATCACCAATGGATATATTTCTTGCAGATGGCTCAATCGCCCTTTGTGAGTACTCTCTTCCGACAATCTGTTGTTGAGGTATAAGGGAATATACCCGACCACGATAAGAGGTCGAGGAGGAGGGCTATGATTGGTAGAAATTAATTTCTTTCGTTGAGACCTTTCATTAGAGTACCATGAAGGATAAAACTAGTTCCAATCCCCCCCTCCCCTCCCCCTACTGATCTCGAAAGACCTTTCATTAGAATACCATGAAGGGTAGAACATGTGCCCCCCCCCCCAATTTTGTAAAGTTTAACTTAGCACCACTAAAGGCATGCGTATGCAAATTTTGAGACCAATTGGTTGTCGTATGTAAAAGTTATGCAAGTTTTACTTTCAAAAACAGCATCTCAGGAAATAATTCGTGGGGGGGGGGGGCCTTTTAGACAGCGAAATTAGATGGCCGTCTGGCACACCTTCAAGGAATAAGCTACCTACTGCAAAAAATTCCAGGACTCTAGGACCATTCCCCTAGAAGTAGTTCAAAACGGTAGAAGTGGGTCCGGACGGACAGACGAACAAAATGCAAACAATAGCACATTTTTTTAATTCTTAAAAGATGTGTGAGGCCTAGAGATTTAGATGTAGAAAATGAACCAGCTCACCTTTGATTGGTCCCTTTATGAACAATTTTATTTACACTTACCTGCCAATTGGTAAAGACATTGTCCGAGCACAAATTGCGTACAAGTGCTTTTCTTGCTCTTCAATAAAATCATGGTCAGAAACATCTGGTCGCTGCACTAAAGCAATTGACACAGGTTTGGAGCTCTGTAGGAGCCTCCGCGTTTCAGCTACCCGATGATCTTCCGGAAAACGTAATTTTAAAAGTGCGCTATCAATATCCTCCATTCCGTCTTCCATGTCAGCTTCATCGGCTTGTTTTATAGCAGGTATCACCTCGGGTAACGAATTGGTATTGGTCATAATATGTTTCTTAACATTCGCTTGCAACTTGCTCTAAAATTCGACCCTCAACACTTACAGGTTAAGCTGGAAAAATATTACCTTCTTTATCAACTCCGCTTGCGCTGCCAAGTCTGTTCTCTGTAATAAATTGTAAGCCTCCGGACTCCAATTGACAGGAGGACTTTCACGACATTTCCACAACGCTCCGTAGAAAAGCAATTTAATGCCAATCGGATAAGTGTCTAAGTCTCTGTTAGTTACACCCATTTCGGTCATTAATAAAACAAGTTTTTCGAAGATGTTTTCATGGGAATGAATTATTTTAGATTTAGGGGTGGAGCATGAATCGACACGCGATTTAAAGGAAATGTGATTAATGAAGCTGTCTATACATATGTCCGATCCAGGTCTACTAGTACCTTTGATATAGACGCCACATAACTAAAATTTAAGAGTCAGTACACACTGTAGCAAATTATACTTTTCTTCTTGCATTATAATAATGAAATTCATATAAGAGCGAACTACGAAATACAGGTAGGTAGCCCAGAACAATGTGTAATTCATCTGAAGGTCTGCTACTCTGCCTCTGCCTGTGCAAATGCAAAGTTAAAATTAGAAAAAACAGTAAAGCAGCAAGGAATGGCAGGATTGGATTGTAAATAAAAAACAATGTTCTGAATTTTCTGATTTGCAAAAGGTATTCTTTAAAAATTATATTCTGAAGATGAAGCACTTAGTTTTCATACCGGAATCTATGAACAAACTGTACATAGATGACCACTACCAGCTTTATTGGACCCGGTATCTAGGAGACAAATGAAATAACTGTAATTAACCGTACCTAGCTAATTAAATGAGTTGCAGTCAATCACATCCGAATCAGTCGTGAGTGGTTTTATTAGCAGTGGGCGTAATTGATCTAAAATTTAAAACCAATTACAGATTTTATATTTATCGCAAGCCGCACAATTAAATAAAGAAGTTTGAATTTTTGGATTATAAACAATCGAATATGCTTTGTTGCTTGCATTTCCGTTAGAGAAATCGCTACCGTGTCCGTGTGACGTAATTCTGTTTTAATTGCTTCCCTGGACGTAACCGCCCGAGGAATTCTAAACCGTTTCTTAAACTGACTACCTGTGGCTACCGATTGTGACAAACCTCCGAGACCGCCGACCGTAGCCAGAAGGAACGTTTTCTTCTGGTGGCGCTCGAGTTTGTCCGTTTCGCCGACATCACATCCCGTTGCCGCCGATTGCCGCTACGTTCGTCCGCTGGTGTGATTTAATTACAATCATTTGTAATTTATTTAATTTTAAAATTTAAATTAATCTAGGCGACCTTAAAATAATTTAGAATCTGACCTACCTACCTACAGCTGAGAAGAAAAGTAATGTAGGAAAGCCACTCAAATACTTACCTCTACAACAGTTTTGGTCCGCTCGTTAACATTAGGTATATAAGGAAACGGAGATGTCTCCGCCCCCTTCAACAAACTGTAAACATACTCCATAACACTATCAGGATTCTCACGCATACTTGGCCACACAATCACGTTCCTTAAATAGTTCTCCTTAATTGTACTTCTCTTGGGATTGTAAGGAGAGCAATGGTTTGGGAAATCTTTCCAATAATGTATGACATAGAGTTTTAGTGATAAATCGGTGGACAGTTTACTTAACAATTGCGCCAGATGAGGTAACTCTTGAGTGCGAGTTATGTTAAGCTTGAAATCTTCGTAAAGCAAGTGTAAGGTGTAGTGTATAATCCGTATACTGAGGAATAAAACGGAATTAATGTTCACCATTACCTCAGAAGCTGATGCAAATGTAGATTTGGATGGTATTTCATTGAGGTTTAATAAGTTGGATATTGCCTTGTAATTCGATTTGTGAAGTTTTGAGTCTAATAGGAAATTCCAATCTGTGTCGGAACCTACTGATGACTGCCGTTGACGTTTTGCAACGCTTAATGGAGAATCACATGGCATCTCATTACCATGTTCATTATCATATCCCAGTAATTCTAAAAAAAAATTATGTTCAACATTCGCAAATTAAAAATAGCCTATAGAATACTAATTCAGATTTTGCCCACTGTCATGTTAGGCTAAGTCGTCACTTGCATCCAAGGTAATTAAGTGGCAGAGTAAAGCATTTCAAAGTTTTTCATAATGATGATGCAAGCATTTTAAAATGAAAATTCTTCGATTACCAAGTAGTTTTGAAAAGTAAGTCCAAGACTTAAGCCCTAGTTTTAATAGTAGTTCAAAAGTAATTGAGGTAAGTAATTCAAAAGCACTTTAACTGCTCAGCTCTGACACAAACCGAAAATTTTAGGTTTTTTTGGTCTTGTCTTGAAACCCAAACATACCTACTGGCCGTCGTACTTTAGGACAGTGTTGCGCGTCACGCTTTCTCTTTTTTGAGGCCCTTTGCCGAGGACGTAAGTCCTACGCAGCACTTGGCCCTTCCACACAAGGAGGAAGGTTAACGGCGGGAATCACGGGGACAGAGCTGTTCGAAACTATGACTCGTGCCAACCTTAACGTATGCACCATTACGATAGGAGGACTTTCAGGTTAGTTATCTGGTTCAATTAAGAGAGTCATAGTTACTCTTATAATGGTCATGGTTACTGAAGAAAATGGTTTGTAAAAAAAATTGTCTGTTGTCACATTAGGGTTGGTTCAAGATAAGGGCAAGTAGAGACCGGTATAAGAGGAATGTTACTAGTGTAGCGTCTTTTAAACCCCTAAAATATGGGGGAGTTTAGATTTCACTTCAACCCAAGGCCAAGGTGATTGTCAGCTAAAATTAACTTCTGCAGAATATTTTTGGGACCAGTAAGACACAAATGTTGATACCATGTTAATTAGACTATAACCATTGTTTAAATACTTTATAGTTGAACAGATCCAATGTAAAAATACTTGCCGTTATATTTCTTTTGATACAGCTGTACCTTCCGCATTTTGCATCCGGCAAGTGGTGTACCTACTCTATTAATAACAAACAAAAGTACGTTAAAAAAGTTGAGGATCACAACTTGACTACGCATTCCTTTATAAACAAGGATAAATTATAAAAACATTAGAGGAATGTCGGTGTTGATAAGCAGATATATAAGGTGTCATTGTTTAGAATGATGGTATATCAAGTTACAGCTATCTTACATTATATGCCACGAGACGATTATCCCTTTAATAAAAGACTGCATACGTTGCCGTTTCAGTAATAAAGTTCCATTTTGCCAAGTTTACTTAGCTAATTCTTTTTTTTTCAAAATATCTTTGAATTTAAACCATCATCATTTTGGTAGAAATTTTAGTGATTATGTACCTACTTGCATTCTTTTGTATTAGTTGCCGTTGCATGCAAAAATGAAATTACAGTTACTTACTTATTAACCATGCATGATGAGAGCATAACTATTTGTTTGTATGCAAGTTACAAAAAAGATTATCACTTAAGAAAAACAGCCCTCGCCATTTTCCTACAGCTACTGCAAAGTGTTGCCAGGTGCGACGGGATTCATGATTCATTGGTGCCGAAGCTATTTTACGCGGACAAAGTGCGGACTGCAGTGACGATGGACATTGGAAATGTCTCTAAATTACTATTTGTACAGAAGAAGGAACCTATGTGCAATTTTTTTGTATAAATGCAACAAATTTGTAAGACAAAACAAGCATTGTTTCTTTGATAATCTCGTATTCACAGAAAAACGATGCAATTTTTTTCATTTCTGATAAATGATTTCACTACCAGTAAATTGATTTTTTTCACTACTAGCGTCTGATGACATGATTGTGAACCTTTTTTCCACTTGTAAAGTAGGCTTTCTCGGCAGTTGTTCAAAGTGGTTAATAATGTGGACATTATTACCTAACTAGTAGTCAATAATGAGAACTGTCACTTTTAGAAAACACAACCCGAAATTTCGCTCAGTAAACGTTTAGACAAGTTCTCTAAAATGAATAATTGCCACCATCAGCCATTTCCAGAGAAATTACATATCTAAAATTATCACATTTTGAAAAAATTCGAACGAAATTACTCTTTGAAAATATCTCAATGAAAAAAAATAGGGCCTGGTTGACCTCTACTTCCACGTACTTGATGGTTTTTGCATGTTGTTTACTCTAATAGCCATGTCACAACTGTTTTTCTAACCACTGGTAGGTAATTATATTCCAGAAAATGATGGCAAAACGTACAAGTGGACCTAACGCATATATACGCGCGGTTTCCTTTTAAAGGAATTTTTCAAAAGAAATTGCTGTGATTGTGTGATGAAATGTGATGGTTTTGTCCGCCCGTCTGTTCGTTCGTATATCCATCTGTTCCTCGTCTAAACTTGAAAACGAAAAGAAACAGCGACGTTAATCCTTCACCAATCGATTTCAAGGATTAGTGCTAAATATTGAAGGATCCTTAACTCGGTCCACCACGTTTTTAACGTCCATTTATTTCAACCTTGCAAAATACTAATAAATAAATTCGAATCTAGGGCATCATAATAATGCTCTTGGTCTATTTCCCAACGATCTTGGTGCATGATAACGATTTTGACATGATTTGATCAGAATACATATGGTCAATAAAAATACATCAAATTCATGTTTCCGGCATTGAAAGCTTTTACAACTCTAAATTCATGTGTCAAGACTAATTTTGGGTACATTTTGCTCTAAAACTTTTGACCTAGACCACAGAGAAGAATATTGAATTGTTACACATCTAAGTGTCAGGGAATAATCTAGCGACAGTCCGAACTCGATACATGACCTAGGCAATGAAAATATGTTGATTTCTATTATACTGAGCCCACAGTGTTTCCTGTTCCCGTTTTACTCGAAGTCCTATAACTTTTGTTCCTGTTGAGCCAGCTTCCTGAAAATCAATAGCGTCCGACCCTCGATACGACCTTAATGTCCAATAAGTATCTACTCGTACGCCATTTCAACATGATCGGTCACTTTTAAAAAGAGTTATAGTGCACACGGACGAACGGACAATACAAAACTATAAAGGCTCTGAAGATCCTTAATAAATTAGTGTAATTTAGAGTTTTGAACAAATAATAATAGGTATAAAGGTAACGAAATACATTTCAATTGAATTCAGCTTTTTTTCGACTTCTAATAATAGCATTGTTTAAAGACTTTATAATAAAATCCATACATTCTGGGTAAACTCCCATACAAATGAATACCGAACGATCTTCGAAATTGTTTTTGGCTCGATAGTCTGTCTACCTCTACGTAGCTGAAAAACAATAACGACCTTTCTGATTTGTGTTAAAATTCAAAGGGATATGGGACGTTTTTAAACAAAGTTATCGTGCACACTGAACTGACAGACAGACAGACAGCAATACAAAATTATAAACGATCTCGAGGATCGTTAAATGTGAATAATCCACATTACGTCAAAAAAATTGGGCAAATGTTACGATTTACCTTTTACAGGGATGGTATTGTAGGGACTTGAAATCAGAGTGTATTTACTGCACCGTCGCATGCTTTTTAGCGCATTTTTGCAAAAATTTTTTTTTGTAAAAAGTAGCTTTTAATGTCACTTTGGCTGGCTGGCTGGCTGGCAGTAAATGCGCGCCCGTAGAAAAACGCTTGTAAAAAGACAAGGAGTGTACATGTAACTATCGGGGCCGTGTAATTAAGAACGTTAGGGATGGGGCTACAAGATCTGGAGTCGACGACATCTGGACGCCATCCCCGAGCGTATTATACTAACCTGGAGATTTTTCAGTTTTTATCTATCTTCTTCTACAGTTTTTCTCCGATTGTTTTCAAATTGGTGTCGTCGGGAAGATCTTGTCAACGCGCACAACTCCTGCGTGGCGGAATTTTGTTTTTTTTCCTAGGGGCGAAATAAACCACCTTTTGCGCGGCGCGCTTCGCGGGGTAGTCGACTTTGGGCGCCCAAAAGTTTATTACAGCGCGAATCGCGGTCTCTCTTTCTCGTGTCACTAATAGAAGGTCGAGCTATGTGAAGTACCCAAAAGTTGAATACGATTTTATGCCGGGATTTTAGCGAAATCTACCAAAATGTGAATTACGAATGAACGGGACGTCGGAACTGTGTATCGACAAAGGGAATGTGGTAACCCCCGACGAGATCTTACTGATGGTGGAGTCGAAACTTCAAATCCGAATTGTTGCGGGTGATCAGAAGTGGGTGTCGACAAAGGGAATATGGTAACCCCCAAAGGATTTTACTGATGGTGGAGTCAAAACTTCAAACGCGAATTGCAAGTGCACGGTAAGTGAGAAAATGGTACCGACAAAGTGAACGTGGTAGCTTTCGGCAAGATCTTATTGATGGTGGAGTCAATATTGGCTAATAAAACACTGATCTGCCACACAAAAATGCGCTGAAGTCCCTTCGATCTCACACGAGGACTTTGATCATTTTTTTAATACAAACTTAAAGCAAAATTTACTACCAGATTTTAATTATCGTAATTTATCTTGTTTGAACGCAACCAACTCACCCCGGAACAAAAATTATTATAAATGCGAATTCGCTTAAACACACAATAGGTAAAAACAAGTAATACGCATAGGTACCTACGTAATTTAATTATTATAAGCGCAGTGAAAAAAAACGGTCTTTACTTTAGAGCTTCAAATAAAGATTAAATAAAATATGTGACTCTTTCTCTTAACAGTAAAGTAAAAGGAATTTGCTGTCGAACTAAACATCAGCGTTTTGTTTATATAGTATAATCGTAGCCGTATAGAGTTACAACTTGCATTCTTACTCAAGGTCGCCTCAGTTACGCTGTGCAGCCGATCGGGTTACATTGAAGGAGAGCCATCTGTTGACGATTTTTGCAGGCCTTACTAAAAAGTCTGTAATGATAAAGCGCAACCTTTCGTCGTAAACTGTCACTACTTATTTAGACCACGATAGTAGCGCCAACTGGATTTTCTAGACCAGAACTACTTATTTCGTTCAAGTAATATTTCCATATGGTTGTTTAACTATAAAGTATTTAAACAATGCTATAACTTATTACCTATTTGGAATATACACTGTGTCCAACATAAGGATGTCTATTTATCATGGGGATCTCGGAAACCATAGAAGATACGAACATTGTTAAATTAGGGAAAAGCTGAGCAATTAAACAGTTATTATCATGCTTTTTTTTCATATAGTCTGTAAAAAAATTACTCACTGTATTCAGTAGCATTTTTTATTACGAATACAGCGACATATAGCGCACACAAAAAAACAAAAGTTGGAAACTGTTGGTTTCAACAGAATGGGAATGCGAGAATACCTATCAGGAAATTTGTCAGATTGAGGTATTCTGGCCCGATTAGGGCATTGTGTGTGGGTGCACCATCCTGTTGAAACCAACAGTTTCCAACTTTTGTTTTTTTTGTGTATAACGTACATCGTTGCATTCGTAATAAAAAAAATGCTACTTCATACAATATGTACCTACCTACTTGTTTAACATTGAAAAATCTCTCAACAGTGTCATAAGTGGCAATGCGATAGTGTTTTTAGTTTTTTTGTATCTCTTCAAATAACATTAGAAAAATCTCCAGGGTGTTCCATTTAAAAATGTGGTTAAGTCCATGACTTTTTTACCTGACCCCGTGTACTTATTCTGAAAATGGCAGATTATTCAACAGTCATTCTAAAGAAATTGACAATTTTTCGATTTTCCCCATACCTTTTGGGCAAGCGAAATTTTTCAAATGTTGAGTTGACCATATTACTTTTTTCAAAGCACTAAGAATTACGGGGATACCCTATAGGGTGTCCTATAAGTGTCGGAAATGGACCACCCTGTTAAAGATAGCTATAGGAACATGTAATATCAAAATATTGCCAATTTCGATTCTCTATCTCATGCAATATTAAGAACATAGTATTCATTCTCTATGCACTGATAAAAATAGGTTGCCATGACTACAACCGTTTTCAAGTAATCAATTATCAAGGTACCATCTGCATCCGCCATTTTTTTTTCTTAAAGTCAAAATAACTTAAAAACCATAAATGGTAGATATCGACATATGGGTATCAAAAGAAGTGAAATTTCACGTAGAATCCAAAAAAGCAATAAAAAATAGGGGTTGCCATTTAAAATAACGAAGTTACTATCTACTTCCGGTGTTTCCGGAAGTGCGGCCATTTTGAAAATATTTTACATCGATTCGGCCTTCAGAGTAACTCCTAAGTACAAATTTTCAAAAACCTACCTATTTTACTTTCCCAGAAACTTTTAACTAAAGCTCCCAAAAAAACACCCTGTATAATATAATTATACACATGGCGTGCGTTTTTTAGTTTTGCCCATAGGAATTTACACGTGAATTTGGGGGCTCCATGTTATAGAAATGCTAGCTAACTGAAACTGCGCACACAGATACATATGATAATAAACTACAATCCATAACAAATTTCAAATAGAAACTAGAAAAATTATGTGGAATCCTAAACTGCATAACTGGAAATTATTTTTCGCTATACAGGGCGTTCCGATTTCCTGTAATTTGGAAAAATGTATTTCTTTAAAATTAAATGCTGCTTTTTGTAGTACTTGAAAAAATGAAAAAAAAGTTTTGAGAAAAGATTGGGCTACTAGTTCAAAAGTTACAGCGCTTTGAATTTTCTTTCGAAATTGGTTTCTAGTCTATAACTTTTGATTGAGAAGTCTGATCGAAAAAGTACGAATTGTTTTGGATTCTACGCACCAAAATTATTAAGAAAAAGTGTTTTCCCGAGAAATTTTGGTGTAGTCGATTTTTGGTAAAAAAGGAAGGTTATACACTGCCTTTTTTTGAGCCCCGAAAAATAAATTGTCTAAGATCGACCTGGAAAAAAAATTTTCTTATAGAATGTGGCCTGTAGAATCCATAATTTCAAACAGTTCCAAGATTGGGCTACTAGTTCAAAAGTTACAGCCCTTTGAATTTTCTTTCGAAATTGGTTTCTAGTTCATAACTTTTGATTGAGAAGTCTAATCGAAAAAGTACGAATTGTTTAAGGCGAGTAACTTTTAGCGCATTTTCTATGAATTGATCAGTACTTCCCGAAAGGTCATATAACGGACGCAAAGGAAAATAAGTTATGGCATAACTTGTAAATAAGAAACTTAGCGTTGCCTTTACTATAAGAATCTGTGGTTAACATTTCAAAAAATATCCCGATAAATAAGAAAGTTGACATTTCGCAGTGCGGTCGTCCGATTTTTACAGCATGCGATATGCTTGTCTTTACTAGAATCATGTGTGGTTAAAATTTCAAAAAAATATGTATAAATAAAAAAGTCGACTGCGCATGTGCCTTAATGGGCAAGATTTTTCTTGGTTAAGGTGCCAAAATTATTAGCTATCGAATGCAAAAAGAACGAACTAAATACCTTGAAAACTGTGGGAGTAATTAAGACCTCGGACGGACGGAGAAAATAGCCATAATAGCGCCTTCCAACATTAGTTGGAAAATGCGCTAAAAAGGAGATAATATGAAGAATGTATACATAACAAGTTCAACTACGAATTTCAAAGGTATATAGGACTACCTCCAAACAAACAAATGAAATTACCATAGATTAAAGATGTGAACATCTCCCATTCCTGCACCAAGTTGAAATCGTCTGGTCCTGGAGCATTTCGCACGGCGTACCATCGCGATAGCAGCGTAATTGAACAATCTTTCGATAGCACTTGACGCAGGGCGTTTAGACAGTTCTCAACAAGCGTGAAGGCGGCCATCGACGGTAAAGTAATTCGGTAGTATGTTCCGTCAGTATATTGGAGTGTTATGCGGTCGGCTACTGGATCGCGCAAACCATTTAGTTGAATTTTTTCGGAGTCTGCTGGAAATGAGCACCAAATTTAAGTAACACACTCTCACTATTACTGCACTAACCGTTTTTATACGGATCTAAAATTAACGCCAAATCTGATTGCGTCGGTGTACTGGTAGGTAGCACGGGGGATATGAGATGTTCGTCAAAATGAGGGTCGGGTTTCGGTGTACCATACTGAGGTAATAAAGTACTGCGCCTATAAATCGATCATCGTTAGTGACAATTATGGGTATAATACAATGCACATTTACTTTGGAAATGGAGAATTAAATTGGGAGAATGTTCTAAGCGCACGCGGAGAGGGAATATGCTGAGCTAAAACGCCACCTACATGTAACTTCCCAACCATAGTCAGCCCTGAATATAAAACAATGCTGCCGGTGTGTTCCAAAATTGCCATCATATGAAGATGAGGTATTGGCACGGCGTCCTTGGCACTTACGCTCGTTAAAATACCAAATACAATTGATTTCGTATTAGTCGTTTCCATACGAACCATCGACAATTGAGAACGCAATGGTATTAGATAACATAGATACGAACGACCCACTAGATCGTCACTTAAAAATACTTTAGAGGCAGGACCTATGTTTAAACAATCTCTGAAACATACCTATTAGTGTCAAAAAGTAAACCAAGTACACATACGATGCGATTAAATTATCACTCCAGATGTGTTCGAAACAAAGTAAGGGATTGACATGGTAGTAATCTTCTTTTGCGTCTAGGTGGGAAGTGGAGGACATCATGCTAATATTGCTGCTGCCGAAGCGATGAGAGGTGTTGTACCGTGACTTTGGGAACCACGGATTACTTCCAAGTAATGGTGATACTGTTGGAGATTGACATCGACTGGAAAAATAGATTTTACACTTTAGTTAATATGACAGATTTAAAGTTGTTGACAGTACATACAAAGTCCTCAAAAAGCTCAACTCCAAAATTAAACAAAAATTCGTACGAGAGTACCTATACATCCATGACTGTATCCACTAATCCAATATTTATTGTTCTGTAATACAGCACTCAGTTTTCATACTAGAATGTATGAACACACTGTATCGCTACCACCTTTATTGAACACCGGGTATCTAGAGGCGCTTCGTTAAGCTCAATTTACATTATACTTTTTTCGTCTAGAAACTTTGACTAGAACTTGTACTAGATGAACTTGTTAAAATTTTGACAATGTAAATAAGAAAATTCCGTCCAAGTTTCTAATCTAGAAACTAGATCTGAAACTAGGTCCAGACCCATTTTCCATCCAACTTTCATACTTGTGACTTGTGACTTGCGCACTAGCACCAAATTAGAACAAATTCCGTGCTACCAACAACTTTATTTTTATACTCTTGAACATAACCTCAAATATAAGTCTCTTGAATTAGGTACATGTACATAGCAAAAATGCAAGGATACTATATAATATAATCCTTGGCAAAAATGAGTTTCTTTTGCTTGTTATTCATGTTTGTTTCCCAAGGATACTATATAATATAAGGATTGCTCGATCCCTATACTTGTAATGTTGCCCAAGTTTAAGTCATATGTGACGTCACCAACGGACCTGGCTGTCAGAATTGACAGTTATAATTTGCTAAGTTGTGAACGTATTTGCATGGACGCCAAGACGCCGATGTGCAATATTAGACTGTAACAACAGCCGTGTTTGCACAAAAATCACTAACCCGGAAGTCATTTACCATAACTTCCCTAAAACCGATGGATTAATACGCAAGGAATGGATATGGTGCTGCAAGCGAGATTAATGGACAAGTGTTTCTAATTTAAATGCCTGCCTACAACACCCATTTGAACGTATTTTATGGTAATCCTAAAGGTCGATTCTCATTAGAGCAGCACCGAGCGGCGCGGCGCAGAACAGCGCGGCGCGTCGCTAGCAGCAAATTGTAAAGGGGTATTCCCACTTAAGCACCATTTGGAACCGTGACGAAGCAGCGTTTCTGTTCAGTTTAAGGGAGAATGTATTCTTACACGCTCGAAGAAGAGCCATTATCGTCATCATCACCAGATGATTTCACAATATTTATAGCGGCACTATGCCATGTACACGACGAAAAAAGAAGAAAAAGAAAGCGGACGAGTACAATTAATTTTTCTATTCTTTGTCCGTCCATAGCGAATCCACTAACACACGCAAGCTCAACACAGAAGACAAATGAATGCTTTTCACAAGCCGCAGAACCACGCTGATCTGCTTCGCTCCTCGATTCCCACTTGTCCGTCTACACGCAGAGCGGCGCGTTTCAAAGCAGCGCCGCGTATTCCAATGCTTCCCGACGCGTTTAAAATTTGCTGCGCTGCACCGCGCCGCTCTGCTCTGCACCGCTCTGCCTAGGTGAAAACGGATCTACTTATTTACATGTGAACAATTGAGAGCAGCTTTTCACCGCGCCGCGCTGCTCGATGCTGCTATAATGGGAATCGGCCTTAATCAAAGCATGCGCTGGTACTGGGTCCGCGAGTGACATCACTACACGCGGCGAAAAAATTCAGTGATCGAGCAATCCTTATATTATATAGTATCCTTGTTTGTTTCCTAGCAATTTAATTTAACCTCAAAATGTACAATATTGAGATTTGTTTTCCGAAATTGGCAGCACTGCCATTGAAACACAAAAAGTCAATGCATCAAAAAGCGGTAAATTTAAATTTCTAGTATAGTGTCGAATGTAGCACAAGTTCTAGTCAGTTTCTAGACGAAAAAAGTATAATGTAAATTGAGCTTTATGGAAGATGGAACTATTTAGTTCTTTTAGGAGTTGGAGACAGGAGTTAGAAGTATCTGCTTTAATTTCTAAAGCAGTTGCCATGTTTAAACACTACTCACTTGTAAAATTGACAGCTGACCTGTGGAGTTGAGCTTAGCTTAAGTGTAGCTTAAAATCCATAGTAACGATTATTGAAACACTGGTTGCCATGGTTGAGTGGTTTCATTAGAAGCACGCTTAATTCAGTTAAATTTTAAAACCAATTACAGCTTGTTATATTTATTGCAGACCGCCGAGCTTTAAAGTACGCTGCTTAATTTTTCGCAGCTAATTTTGTTGATTCCATTACCATGGTTACAACCTACATCAGCCTTGAGAAACATATTTCCCTCATGGTAAAATATTAATATAAGACGAATTCAGATAATATAAACTTCAGTGTTAGAGATAATTCAGTATTTTATTATTAAAGGAATCGGCCTATTAAAACCTCGCTCCCTTCGATCGTTCGGATTTAAAATGGGCATCGTCCTTTAAACTATCTATAAAACACCTATAGCACGTTCGCACCTCCAGATGCAGTATGGGATCTTAAGGACTAATTGCCTCTCTTACTAGTTTGCGTCATCCTTGTTTCTAACCGCACTGATTATGTCAACATGACATAGGATTAAATTGAAGTATTAAAACAAAACATAATCTCCTTGTGCTGTCATTGTCACGTTTGGCAAGGATCTACTGTATGTTCATAAGCACCATACCGCATCTGGAGGTGCGAACGCGCTATAGTTACCTTATTAAGCCCGTTTGTAACGATCCCTTATTTAGTCAATTTTTAAATAATTTTTTTAGGAACAAAAAAATTGTAAATTTCATACATCAACTGTGATCAATTTTTTGGTAGTTATTTTAGGAACTGAAAGTTGTCCTATTTTTGTAATGTTTAGAACCTGTCCTATTTTCCCTCAATTTTTTAGTAACTTTTGACAGATTATAGGGAATTTGTAAAATTAAAATAAAATTTATATTCATTTTTAAAGCTCAATATAATACGTTGACAGTAGATAGAGACCTTAGTTTACAGAAGATAAATATTTAGTCTCCAGATTTAATATAACATAGGTTATGTACAAATGGTTACATTTTACTGGTACTAAAAAATTGACAATATTATGAAATGTTACATACAGTTTCATCATTTATGACATTTTTAGGATAGCATTATCTTTATTGAAGTAAAAAAAGGACTAAGAATTTGACTAAATAAGTGATCGTTACAAACGGGCTTTAGCGATTATAATGTCTGGTATGGAAACAAATGATTGCCGGTCAGACTTATAATACATATGTTTTAAAGTCACTATACTCAGTCTATTCATTTTAAGAAGGTAGCGATAAAAAGCATAGGGATAGTTTGACCTTCACTGTGATTGGTGAAAACACCAGTCAATATTACCCTGAAAAATAAAACGAGTGACGAATTCTGTCTGTTAGAAGTTTCAGTTACGAACTAAACTGTCGAACTGTCATTAGCTGTCAATTTCAAAGATCCAAGCGTGATATCGTTTGATTTATATTTATATTTTGCAAATTTTGTGCAGCTTTATTTTTCCTGTGTTTGTCTATCTTCAAACACAGCGCCATCTACTACCTTCTTATAATGAATGCAGTATAGAAATAGAAAGTACCGCAATCATCCGCCATTTTTGGGCAAATTTGCTGCCAACTTAAAAAAATTGACAAATAAAATCTGAATAGCTGTAATTTTTTATAACCTAACTTCATAGTACTGTCATGTTTTATAAAAATATATACAGATATCGCCAAACAGGTGGAACAATCCCTAACATTAAAGTTACTAAAATCTGGTAACTTCCGCCATTTTTGGGCAAAAATCATGCGTTCTCTCTCTAACACACGAGCCCAATGGATTGCGGTACTTTCTATATTTAGTGACTTTAATAGGTTTCTCTCTCGCGCGCTACTTAACATTGCGACAATCATACTGTTCCGTGGGAAAGAGAAGGACGCAGTGTAGACAGCTGCTCGTTATGTACGCACCGATGTAAGAGAGTGCGCATGCGCTCTCTCCATGTGATAGTAGCAGACAGAAATATTAATTACATTAATTTTAATTAGGGGAAGTCTTGACTTAATTTTTTTAGGTAACCATTTGCAAAGTGTTTGTTTACATATCAAGATTGCTAAAAAATGTAGGTATTTCACTCGATAAACAAATGGGCGGAGGGAATGGTGTACCATTTCCCAAAATTTCATCGCAATTGGATGACCGATTTAGGAAGGCATAAGAGATACAGGCATATAAACATTCACTTTTATTTATACTGTATGAGTCTCTAACTTAATTCAGTAAATCAAAGAAAGTGTTTTTTCAGAAATATGCTCGGACAGGTCGATTAGTATTTTAAACTGCGCTGTTTTTGGTGTAATAATATTTTATACAGGGTGTCCCAAATTTGAAATATGACGACCCCGACTATTTTTTTAAATGGCAACCCTAATTCTTTATGACAATTCTTTAAGAGTATATCAAGTTACACATCTATGTCAACTTTCAAATTTTTATTTCTCGTCATTTAGCAAAGTTTTTAATACCAAACTGGGAGATATTGAGCAGGTGAAAGGACGAGTCACACAGTGTGGGTGAATTCTCCCGGAGGACTTAGAAATGTTTAAAACGAGCTTCAGTTCCATTTAGGGTATTATTAGTTAGAAAATGGACAACATTTGGTTCTTATGGAAAGACGATTCTAAAAATGATATATTTTTAGAAATAATACTGCTGTGACCTTAAATGTTTGGGCACATATAAAATAAATGCAATGTCCCACGTTGGGCGCCATCTGTGTCCTACTCTCGCGCATGCATAGAGCAGCCTATTTGATATGTTTTGAATTTATATTGATGATCAGTTTCCCAATGAGTGACAGTGACAGAAATCTCCCTTGCATTATCTCTCTTGGCGCGCTACGTTTCTATGGTAGAGACCGCCAGTGCGCGTTCCAGTTTAATTATAGTTCAGTGGTCCTTCCTTTGAACAAAATATCGATGAATTGATATTAACTTCAATGCTTCGATGTCTATAACATTATATGTGCTTAAAAGTACCCACACATCAGTTATAATTTTTAGTTATGACACAACCCGTTTATTTTTTCTGCTATCACTATTAAAAATACACTTTCCTTATGGTTCTAACGATAAATCGTGCCCCAAACATTTTCCGGAAAATACGTCCGCCAGAAAGCAGTCTCGAGGTAAATTCTTGACAAAATTGCGCCCGAAAAAAAAAAAGCTCACCTCAAGGTAAATTCTCCCTTGGAAGATATTCGTTTCGGAAAACTTCCGCCGCGGCGAAATTAACCTACGAAATATTCGCACACAAGAAGTTTCCCAGAGGTACATTCGTCTCAGGATGGTTCGCAACCAGAATATTCCTGGTATTATTATTATTACTACCTTGGGGAGAGTTTTCTCGGGGGCGAATTTTTCGAGCGAATGTTTCCGGGGCGAGGTTTCTCCCGGAGGCGACTTTTTCCATAGAGATTTACTCTATGCTTTTTCGGAGCGAATATTTCTGGGGCGAATTTACCTCTGGGCGGATTTTCTTGTGGGCTTTCTTTCGGGAGTGATTTCGGAGAAAATTTGATGGTGAATTTTCCAAAGGCGGACCTTTCGGGGGGCGAATTTTTCGTGACGAATATTTCGAGGACAAATCTTCCGGGAGCAAAATTTTTCAGGGGCAAATCTTTCTGAAGTCTCCTTTTTTTAATTGGATTTTTCTTAGATCTCTACAAATTCCACTAAACATTTTGACTGAGTTTGGTAATAAAATTCCAATCAGCTTCTCGGTGTTGCAATTTCCATGTGACCTCCAATTATAAGAAATTTTGGCTACTTTAATTTTAAGTCATATAGGATTTCGCCGATGCCAGATCTCCGATTGGCTCTTATACGGGAAAGATAAGCATACTGTGATTTTTGCTTGTGGTGACCTACACTCGTATTATTTTATTTTTGGTTAGTGTGCATTCAACGTATATGATCATAACAACAACTTTGGACGAGAAAAATGCAACGACAAGTTTTAGAACAAATTTTCAATCATTCCAACCAAGATACCAACCGTGTCAGCAAAAGACGCCTACCCTTTACTATTTACAATTGAAATCCTCGATCAGAGTCTGGCATATCGAGGCCTACGATACTTACAGCCCGGAGCGCTCGAATAGTCACGTGACCTTAGGAGTCAGTTCAGGACACATTGGCTTATGGAAAATCCGTGCGCGGCGCCACTATTTATTTTTTTACTCCGAATCCGTTTAACATAGAGCCACGAAATTTCAATGAGAGCTGGTCAATGGTACAGACAATTAAATTATGGTGTGTAACACTGGAAATAGTTAATTTTAAGGTTAAAATTCTTTGAAGATAGTAAATCCGTGTTTTTCCATATTTCCACCATTATATTTCTGTTTCTAGGAATGATATCATTGTAATTCTTTCGGTAAACACGAATTTTCCAGAAGCGATAATGTAAAACTAATATTAACGAAGATATAAGATATATTCCATAGTCTTGACTAACCCTGTATATTAATATTTTGTGGAGTTTAATGGTTCTCCAAATATTACAAACATTATTTGAAAGCCGATTAGTAATAATTATTTCCTTTGCGCCTTCGCGTGTTCCAGAAGTAACCAAAACTGCTGAAAAAAGGAAACAAAAGACTATTTCTTAAAAATTCCTTCTGAAAAACATTTATGTGTCCTTTGGCCACAATTCATTCGATATATGTGATACAATGAAACAAAAAAGTTTTTCGCATGGTGAATTTTGCTCTGTGCGGATAATTAATGCGCGATTTTGTAGGGCCTGTTAAATTTACACTAATACCAGATAAGGCATTATATTGGCATAATTGGAGGCGCATATCATTCTAGTTTAAGACACCGAAAGAATTATCCATTGCAACATTTCATACATATATAGTCACTACATATTTTTGCATTTTTATTGCTGTATCGTTATTGCTAACTTCAGACGGATCACTAGATTCAGATTCAGCGCATTTTGTATTTCATATTCTCAAGATTGTGAATATCCTGAGATATGGAAATTATCAAAAGTTTGACCCAGTCATAAAAGCGGGGATAAAAATAACATAATAATATGGTCTAACAATTTCCAAAATATATGAAAAAATTCTGTACGGAAAAATATCTCCCTACATTGAGGTATTACTGTACCAACTTAACCACTTTTACTTAAGACGTGACGAAGCATTGGACAAAAATAAGCAAATTTACGTAATACTGATTTTACCAAAGCATTCGATAGAGTCCATCACCAAATTTCCCTGGTTTCACTCTTTCTGCTGAACCTTGCATTATGCTTGAAAGATTATACTTAATTTACAGTGAATGTGTAGTGAGAATAAATGTTTCGACTAAATTTACTAACCTAATGGCTGCCATAGGGCTGTGAGATCTTGACTGATGACTACTATGAAAATGAAAAGTACTTGCTGGACGGCTAGAAAAAGGAGACGAAGTGTCTCCTCTGGTCTCCCATGCAGCCGCATGGCTTTTTTGCTAAAGCAAACAAGGTTAGATCCAAGTTTTCTCTAATAAACACTCACTCTGTTTGAGAGATTATGCATTGATGACATCTGGCTACCCATTTTTGTAGATATCTCGGTCCATTCGTCATTATGAAGTTTCCTGATGACGTAAATGCTGTGCTGCATTGTATGCGAATCAAACATCATGCATATGCTTGGTTTTTCGCAGGTAAATAAAATGGTTAAAGAATGATCTTCGATTAGACGAATGGTACCATGCAAAATGGCCACAGGTGAGACCTCGTCCAGAGGATGTGTCATTGAAAAGACAGTAGGGCCAGCCTCATCTTCGCATTTCCTAGTTTCTGTAAAACAAGCTTAAAAAAAGGCAAACAAAACTGAATGAATACTTTTCTTGCGCTCCAAAATTATACCAAAGGCAGTATTCCAAAAGTTGCCCACCGTAAAAGGGAGAGTGGTAACGAAATCTTCACTATCAATCGAAAATACTCTTAAATTTTGTTTATCTACAATGCACACACAAGGCATTGGTGTACCTATTGTCTCCGAAGTTGGCACCGTTATGTTTTTAGAATTAAAAGTGGGCAGCTCACAATAAAATGTACACCAATGTGCGTGTGTAATTGGATATTGGCTTGAGTAGGAACAAACCGTAATTCGAGAGCTATCAAACTTTCCACAATTCCCGGTGGATGCAATTCCCTTACTCCAAATTGCCACATTATCCTTAATATACAACTCTTCTTCCATTACGCCCAAACTCTGACACTGTAGGTGCGACAACTTTACAAACTCGTTGATATCGTTATCCAAGGTCCGTCTCTTCGAACCTTGAACATCGGACAGTCTCTTATTAATTATTTGCGGATCTGCACTTTTCCAAGTCCACGAGCTATCCGCCCCCTCATTAGTGCACGGATCGCACAAAATGCTTTTATTATTACCGCATGCGTTCGACTTTTTCGACTCCTCATATTTTTGATTGGGCGATTTTCTAATTGTCCACCACTCATTTTGCTCGTTTTCGGCGATAGACACCTTTTCGAATTCGCTCCGAAGTATCTCGGGCGATAAAGCAGCATTGCTCTCTTCGCCACCGCACAGTTGCACTGTTCCGGGATGCCAAGACAGTTGCTGCCTTCCACTTGGAACAAACTCCTACAAAAAATGTGTCAAATGACGGCATATGAAACTAACTTAACACTATCTACCTGTGGATCTTTGGCAGCAATCATAATTTCTGTGTTCTCATCCAGATTTGCTAATTATAATTTTGATAGTCCCTCATAAACCCCTGAAAAGGTGTACGGACAGCTTGACTTGAATGTAATTTAAGGGAAGACGTCACTTTTAATTCACTTATAAAACCAACCGGCACGTTAACTGTAGAAATCAGATTAGAAATTTTAAGGTTAGATTTTAAAATTCCAAATAAACATCTGATTAGTAAATTTGAATATAGGGAATTTTTATGTTTGAATGTTGGTGGTAACAGAGCGCTAAGCAGTCTAGTTTAAATTTTAAAAATGCAGGCCAGTCAAATATAAAATAGAACATAAAAACAGAAAATGAGTACATTAAAGAAAATTTCGAATGCAAATAGAAGGCTGAAAGAATCCGAGCAATTTGAACAAGTGTAAAGATCTGCCTTTTCTTCAAACTAATTAAACTTTAATAATATGCAAAATTGTAGATTTCGTTTTTCTGAAAATTTTGGTTTATATATTGCGCATAAATTTGCAACCGAAAAGTGTGTTTGTTAGCAGAGTCCACCCCCGGGACAGGTGACTTGTCCCTCGTTCAGGAAATGCTAGTGTAAAGATGAGCTTCGAAATCAACCATAGCTCGATACAAAGATAATACTTCTTGCTCGATGTCGTAACAGTTTTTTGTTAAAGTAATTTCCAATTCCCGCACACGTTCATATTTCAAGTACAGAATAAGTATAACATAAATCAAATGTTCATTGAATTTAATGTATTTGTATTTGTATTTGTATATTGCCAGTACATTCAGTACAGAGATGTATGTGCAATATTTGTCATAAATTATAACAGCAGAAATTACATAGAAAAGAATAACAATATAACATAATGTAAATATAAATATAATGAAACAATATAAATAAAAATAAAATTATCTACAGATATACTAACATGCCAACATAACTACGGAAAGCGTTTTCTTTTTATTTGGATAACGAGATGTAGTCACTTAAGCAATAAAATGTGTATTGGAGTAAAAACTGTTTGAGTTTTAACCTAAACTGTCTAAAGGTAGGGATATTTTTAATTGCGTCTGGTAATACATTAAAAATTTTGCAGCATTGGTAAATTAAATTATTCTGGAATAATGCTGTCCTATGTTTACCAGGGTTTAGATTAGTTTTATGTCGGGTGCTATAATTATGTACAGGTTGAATAAAGCGAGTCTTATTTTTATACCCGAAGCAGCATATTTCCAAAATGTACGTGTCTACAACTGTTAATATATTTAATTCTTTAAAATATGATCGGCAGGAAGTTCTGAAGGGTAAATTGCAAATGGTTCTAATCGCCCGTTTTTGTAGTATCAGCACGCGTTGTACTTGAGCACTACCACCCCAGTTTACTATATTGTACTTAATGTGCGAGTGAAAGTTCGAATGATACAGGGTGAGAAGCGTAGATCTAGTGCAAAGATTTTTTAAAGCATTTAGCGAATAGCAACAATTTCGCAATTTTTTACATACGTTATCAATATGCAAGGACCATGTAACATCCTGACAAACAGTCAGGCCAAGTATTTTTGTCGACTCTAGACAGGTTAAGCCTCCAACTCCAAGATCTTTTGTATTACAGATACTACGTGTACTTCCAAAAGGAACCAACACAGTTTTGTCCAAGTTAATAATCACTTTATTATTAGTGCACCATCGGTGTAGTTTATCCAGCGTATGTTTTATTATAAAAGTAAGATCAGACGTTGTTTTTGCCTTAATTAAAATGTTAGTGTCGTCAGCGTATGAAATGACGGTTATATTCTTACTATTGTTATTTTCCACAAGATACGGTACAAGGTCATTGCTATATATTATAAACAATGTAGGGCCTAAAATTGAACCCTGTGGTACCCCTGACAGTATAGTTAACGCGTCACCACGTTCACCACTTGGCAGTTCTACCTTCTGCGATCTCTTGCACAGGTACGATTTAAATAACTCAAGAGCGGTGCCGCGAATACCGTAATGATACATTTTCGCAATTAAAGTGCTGTGATTTACGGTATCAAACGCCGCTGAAAAATCAATAAAGAGACCTGCAACTAACATACGACGATCCACAGCAGAAATTACTTCGGTCATAAAGTCATATAAAGCCGTATCGGTTGATCTATTTTTTATAAAGCCATGTTGAGCACTACTAACGATTTTAAACGTTGTTAAGTAGTTGGTAAGTTGTTTATTTATGACAGACTCAAAAACTTTGGAAAAACTTGATAAAAGGCTAATTGGCCTATAATTGCAAACGTTACCTGGATCGCCCTTTTTGTAAAGCGGTTTTACAACTGCTCCTTTCAAACGTTCAGGGTAAACACCAGATTGAAGAATACCCGACGCTTACGCCGAATTGGATGAATGTTTTCTAACTTATTCGGGCTTTCTATAGTCAATAGCTGACCATAGTGATCTGATACCCCCAGGTTGATATTATCTACATGGAAATTTAATGTGTGTGATATGAAAACATTATCTAGGCAGGATCGTTTGGAAGGAGTGACTTTAAACAATCTCAAGAATCGGAAAATTATGAAGCACCTGAAGAAATCAAAGCAACCATAATATTCGTGCAATCTGAAGTAATTGACGGGATGATTCCTTTTTTTTTATTTTATAGCATTTTTTTTTAATTTATAATGAACCTGTGTTCCAAGTTTCGTAAGGATCAGCTGCACCTAAAAAGAAATCTTGCACACGGACAGACAGACAGTCTGTTTTGCAAAAAGGGCCCAAGGGTATAGCGACTTTAATTATGATTTGACCATTATCGAACCATATATTATTATTAAATGGAACAGTCTTAGTTACACCTCGGAAAAAAACAATTTTTTTAAACACCTTGATTTACAGGTTATGACGCCAGTGATATTTTGTTTTAATTGCTTGATAATTTTTTCTGTATTCTTATTTCTTGTAGGGAATTTTAATCTTTTCATAGGTCTAAATTTTTATGAGGTTTATGAAGTTTTTGTAAAAAAATGTTTTTCCAGCAAGACGGTGCCCATGTCTATAGCCCCAGGTAGGTACTAATGGTTCATTTAAATGGTGCGGAATTTTAACTCCGCTCGACCTGTGGAGTGCATTAAAGACAAGGTTTTTTCATGACTTTCGCATAAGTGCGCTATGCGTACACCTTCTCAACATAACCAAAGAGTACATTATGGTTACTCTTTGACATAACAAAGCCAACACCTGTGGAATGTTTCCAAACCTGTGGGGTACGCTGTGTCAAAACACTAACAGACACAGGGGCAGCGAGCAGCAACAGCCAAAATAAACCGTCAATAAGTAAACAATGGACCCCCTGCCAATTCAGATTCAGAGCCCTGCGTTTGCTTTACGGTTTGACGTACCACCAGGCGGCGACTAGATGAACTATACTTGGACACCGCGCTACAGCGGGATTTTTAGACGTAGAAAGTAATTCTGCGGTGGTGTGTAATTTTTTTTCTATGTCTGGGGGGGGGGGGGAGCTATTATTCGACAGCGGTGTGAGTTTTTTGTTTTAATTATTTCACCTTACCCTGCACCTGTTTAATTTTGGAATAAACGGCGCCTCATATAGACCGAATTAACGTCCGTTTGCGTGTAATCTGCTCGCACTAGCGACGCCAGAGCGACACAGCGTGAAAAAAAACGTTCGTCTAGTTTATTCCAAAAAGCGTGTGCATCTCGTTCCAGGGTGTAAAATGATGCGTTGATTCCCCGGAGGAAAAAACGCGCGTCCTGTTCCGCACTCATGTAAAGTAACCACAGAATAGCAATGACAGTTACGTTCGATCTTGTGAACAAAACCTCATATGTGACCATAATGAGGTGGGGACTCTGACTCTGCCTTTTGTAATCTTTGTGATTGTGGTTAGATCATATATATACTTCTCTTATATATATGGGTTAGATTGCCTATTTTTATTTCTGTTACTTTTTATTGCTTTAATTTAAACGGCAACTCGTTGTTATTCGTACGAATAAAAAGAAATCGTTTTAAATTTTCCGAATCATTGCGCTGTACGAAGTATTACACAACTCGTTTTTAATTGTTCTATTTTTAAATTTAAAAAGTAGAGAAGTACAGTTTGTTGTTGTCACCTTGTCGGTTAGGTATTGCGGATATTCAAGTGTCTACTTTGACAATACAAAATTTCGATACTCGACCGCTGGTGGAATAAATAATATAATCATGGACGGAACGGATCATAAACATAAAGAAACAATTTCCCAGTATAGTTTTGACGAATATAGCGGCTTTCCTCTAAGAAATTCGGCGGAAAACTACGGAAGGAAATGGTATCGCAGTGCACAACAGAGGTGAGTTTCATTTCGTTTTGCTTGTCATTTAGACGTGCCTAATGTAATTCCGTGTAAAAATCAATATATTTTCTGAATGCAATTCAATGCAGAATATGCGTTTAGACTTTCACGTCTTCTTGTGTATCAAATGTTGCCTATCAAACAGGGTGCTGTAACCTGCATCATATCTGCGCCTTCAAATTATATTTCGAGTTAATTACCATTATTTGATTTTGATATTAGTCGTTATGTCACGTAGCATGCCTATACTGATAGTGTGGAATATTTCACAAGGTTGTGAAATCGAAAGGTATTTTTTTAAATAAAAGTGCAAAGTCCAGAGGCTTTTGATAGGATTAATGTCTAAAAATGAAATGTTTCCATTTATAACCTACAGAGATTGAAGGAATTGTCGTTCTCACCCAATATACAGGACGAGTCGACCTTCTCCTAGGTGACCAGTAGTGCCAAAATAGTTGAGATTAGAGAACAACAAAAGCTCTGTGGTACCCGACGCCTTGTAATTTAAAAATAAGGGGACGATCAAAAATGAGTGGCGGTCGAGTCGCCTTTGGAAGTTCAAGTTTTCCATGTAAACAAAAATTCCAAAGGCGAATTGACAGCAACTCATTTTTGATCGCATAGAATATGTACCTTCCATAATGTACACATAACAGGGTGTTCCATAAATGTGGTACGAACATCAACGGTTTTTTTAAATGGAACACTGCGTATTTTTTTTATCGATAATGGATGTAGGAAACGTTTCGAAATTACCACAACCTTTAGCAACCGTCGCGATGCCCACCACCGTGCGCAAATTAAAAAAAATGGGCTTCCGCGAAGTTGGCCGCGTTACATTTAATAAAG